ATCACTAGTCCCATTTTGTGAGCTACTTCTTTAAAGACCCATACCAATTACCTTGTCTTATAACAACATAATAAAGAAGAAAAAAACACCATCTAGCTATAAGGATTTTATTTGCAAACAGTTCAAGCTAGCTTGCCATAGAGCTACATATTACTTCACAAATAATTATATTAAACCTGTATTAGAGCAACATAATACTTTACAAACAACCATAGCTAGCTTGCCACATGGCAACATAACATTTACAAACTTTATAAACACACAAACAAGCTTGCCACATAGCCATATCATACTTTACAAACTTTACAAAAACACTAACTAGCTTGCCATATAACAACATAATACTTAACAAAAAGACAAACTAGAATCATCATCATCATCATCATGTAGGAGGTCCTTTGCAGAAAGTCGCTCTCATCACAGTCTGCCCGAAAGAAACTCGGTCTCTTGCCAGTTATCCCACCTCATGCATTTTCACATTCAAGGAGTCACCTATATCCTGTGCCCATCTTCGTGTCGGTCAGCCCCTGCCCCTCCTTCCTGGTACCATGCCTTCTGCTATTATTTTTTCCAATCCGTCGTAGCACTTAATATGACCAAAATATTTCAGCTTTCGAGAAAGGATGCTGTTTATTAGCCAATCTTTCTTGATCAGATCTTTTAAGATGTCAATATTTCTCATCTTCTTTGTCCAAGATATTCTGAGAATCTTTCCATAACATTTCAGCTCAAAAGCCCCTATTCTCTTTCTCAAGGACTGAGAGATAGTCCACGACTCACATTCATATGTAGCCACACGGAAGATGCATGCTCTTAAAATTCTAATTTTGATCTCCTTGCTGGTGCTTAACCATAGACTTTTAAGGCTGTTCAATCTTTGAATTGCTATGGCCTTCCTCCTTTTAATTTCTGTCGAACAGTCTCCATTGTTGTTTATTATAGAGCCTAGATATTCAAAGTTTGTGACATTTGATGGTGATGGTTAGGTAAAAAAAAATAAAAAAAAAATTCTCGTTTCTTTTAACCGGCTCCTGGATTGAGCTGTGGTTATTTCGAAGAGTGTGTTTTCCTGCTTGGAATTCGTTTTCCAATTATCTTTCCTTTATTTGCGGTGTTTCAATACACCTGAGTTTTTTAAACGTGGGGCGTTGCGGCCTCCGTACTGGTGTATGTTAGGTTGGAAAGCGTTCCTGGCTGGGTGCCTTGTTCAGCATTGGCTTCGTATGAAATAGTTTAACGCTGTCTTCTTCGGAGGTTGAGCGGGGTGATTCCCATTGCCACTTCCATGGCTGTCCTGCAGGTACTTCTGCCAGTTCATAAGATGATAGCTAGTGATTGCCCTTGTATTTTGTCTAGGTTTGCTTTCCTGCTGTCGGCAGCCGCTTCATACACGATGGAAACGTTCTCCATTCTCCCTCTGATAAATGCTTTGTAGAAGGTGAGCATGGTTTTGGTGTGAGCCCCCCACCCACTACCTTTTATTATCTTGAGCATGTTGGTGAGTTGTTTAGTATGTTCCACCATGTAGTTGATGTGCCTACTCCAGTTTAGCTGTTCATCTAGCTCCATATCTAGGAACCTGGTGAACTGTTTCCTCCGGACTGTTCTGCCTTCCAGCTCTATTCTGATCAATTCTGTCTCGTATTGGTTCCTGGGCTTGTTTCTGCTGAACATCATCAATGCTGACTATTCTGCATTAACTTGGAACCCCACTGATTCATCCAATGCATCACATTTGTTAGTTGGGTTTGCATTGATTTACGTATTTTCGCTACCTTTCCACCTGTCATCAACAGCGCACTGTCATCAGCAAATTATGACAGCTTGACTCTGCTGTCTTTTATTGCACTGTGGAGGTCATTTACTAGTATTGTGAATATGGTAGGCGAAATTACCAAACCCTGGGGGATGCCATTCTCTTGTGGTAGGGGGTCTGTTGAGAGTTATGCCTTGAATTCTGAGCCTTTTGATTTTAATTAGTGCTCCTTCCCGCTAGCACTGGTCATACGCCTGGGCCAGATCCAGGAAGACGGCCATTGTTTTGTGACATTTCTTGAAGCCATTCTTCACATCGTCTTCTAGCTTGATGATTTGATCCATTGTACATCTGTTTGCTCTGAAACCCGATTGCGTGGGGCTGTAATGGTTGTTACTTTCGAGATAGAAGACGGGGCGTTTATTTATGACCGTCTCCAGAACCTTGCCCAGGTGGGAGGTGAGGGCAATTGGCCGATATGAATCCATCCATTGTGGGTCTTTGGTTGGTTTTATGATTGGAATAATCTGAGCTGTTTTCCACTGTTTGGGTATTTGCCCACACCTCCATATGTCGTTGAAGAGTTCTGTTATAATTGCGGTGATTGGTTGCAGTAGTATTTTTAGTATCGAGTAGTTGAGTATGTCGGCTCCCGCTGCCGTATTCGATTTTTCGTTTACTGCGGTGACTACTTCTCTATAGTTATGTCCGCGTTTAGGTATTCAGCACCTTCTGTTTGTTGGGCTGTTGCTCTGGCTTCCTGCTCGACATGTTGTTCTCTTCTCAGTAGTTCTGACTGCCCTAATCTTGCATTAGAACTGAGCTCGAAAAAATGCCGCCCGAATAGGTCCGCTTAGTCTTTGTCGGTTACGGCTAGTGTTGGGAATTTTAATTGTCGGGACTCTTTTGCTTTTTTTTGCCCCCTTTGATTGCTTTCGATGTGGTCCTCACACTTTACTAGGTGCGGTACTGGGGTTTAGTTTTTGGCAAAAGAGTCTCCAGCTTGTTTCCTTGGCCCTTGTTACTTTTTCAATTTCTTCATCATTTATTGTTATATTTGGGTGACAGCCAGTTTTATCTGTGGACATTATTTTTGTTTTCTTTAAATTCAAGAACAGATTTTGATCTTCACTGTGCTTTTGGACAGACAATATTAAATTTTCTATTCCCTTTACGCTGTTCGAAAGGAGGACTTTGTCATCTGCGTAGCCGAGTTCCGAAATAGGGTTGCCACTAATTTTGAGCAGATCATAACTGTCACAAGTCTGATCATTTCTGACATTTCTCATTAGATTTTCTGCGTATATTTTGAATAGGTATGGTGAGAGAATGCACCCCTGCCTCACCCCCTTTTGCACATCGAACCAATCAGATGTTTCACCAGCTGCTCTTATGGCTGCTTGTTGTTCATGATAAAGATTTTCAATTAAATGCACTAAATGCGCTGGAAACCCCATACTTTTCATAATAGTCCACAGTTGGTGGTGTTGGACACAATCAAATGCCTTGCTATACAAACTAGAATACTTTATAAAAACACAAATTACCTTGTCAAATAGCAACATGAAGTTTACAAAAAAGCAACAGCTTATATTATATAAACTTTACAAACAACTCTATCTAGGCTTGCCATTTAGCGACACAGTACTTTACAAAAATACAAACTAGCTTTCCATACAGATTCACAGTACTTTACACAATACACAAACTAGCTTGCCACATAGCAACATCATATCGGGTGTTTCCTTTGAGGCGGTGTTGCGTGCTGATTCGTGTGAGTTGTAACATCGTAGGGGGACAATGTGGTATAAATAGTGTTTTTGGGAGTCCACGGGAATGTCCGGTGACTGTCAATATTTGGCACAGTGTTGACTTGAGCCAAGAAATATCTGTTGGTTGAGTCAATCAGTATTGTGGGAAGTGGCTTGGCACGGGATGGACCGGTGGATTCATGAAGCCAGTGTGGGCTAACTATCATGACTTTAGGCCGCTGGCACATGGAAGCAAGTATGGGGTGCGTGACAGCATGCGTCTCTTGTGCACGGGCCGCTCACAAGGTGCAGGCAAGAGTATATACTGGGTTGAGTGGACTGTTGAGCAGTGGCAGTTGAGAACTCGAACTGTTGATTTGATAACGTTTGAGGGAAAGCACTCGCGAGAGACTGGTCGAGAGTGCAGCCAAAGGAAGAGAAGTCCACTTGGCAAGTCAGGCCAAGTGAGCTGGACTACTCAAGAAACACTGTTTTTGGATGATGACGCGTGTAAGCGGGAGGACCAACTAGTGAAACAAGACAGCAGAGATGCCGGCGATAGCTGTGTGCTGAAGGGGACCCAGAGCCAGGAGTCCTGCCAGTCATCAGAGTTCCTTCTACGAGGCTGACGTGCTGTGTGCACATGCTGGAGAACGAGTACTAGGGCGTTTCCAGTCAGCTGAGGGGTCTGCTCCGTATAGAGCAGCAGAGGTCCACTTGATTAGGAGAGATATTCTGTTCATCTGTACGGCGAGCCCGGAGTTGCGGGACGCTGTAGACCTAGAACTGTAGCGGTCGGCTCATGTGTAGTGGAGGCTAGTACAAGCTGTTCGGGAGAGCGGCGCTATACCTGAGGAGTGAGCGAAAGGAGGGCCATTTGTTGCATGTTAGCCAGGACAGATGTCTGCATCTCTTTTCATGCATTGTTGTGTGTGTGAGGGCTTGTGAATACCCTCTGTGATCGTAACAATAAATGTGCTTATATGACTGACATTACATCGCTGAGTAATACTTTACAAGAAAAAAACCACAGCTATCTTGTCATATCACTGTTATAATTATCATGAGCGATGCTGATAAGCATGGGCTGCCATGTTTTGCCCTATAACACTATCACCAGAATCACAGATCAGGTCAGTGTGCTTGCTGCTGAAAATGGGAATGGAGCTCTTATATGAATGTCATGAGTGTCAAGATGTCGCTGGTACCATCACAACTGGAACACTGCGATTGCTGCTGAAAATGGGAATGGAGCACTTATATGAATATCATGAGTGTCAAGATGTCAGTGGTACCATCACAATAGAACTCTGTGCTTGCTGCTGAAAATGGGTATGGAGCACTTATATGAGTGTCAAGATGTCAGTGGTACCATCACAATAGAACTTTGTGCTTGCTGCTGAAAATGGGAATGGAGCACTTATACAAATTTCTTGAGTGCCAAGATGTCAATTTTTTTCTTAATTCACAATTCAAAGTATTTTACAGTAGCTCTAGCCAGCTTGCCATATTGCAGCATAATACACAACCCCATCTTCCAAATATTCAGACAAACACTGGAGATACACATTTTCTGAAGCAGCCTCAACAAGCTCAGGGACCAGCCCATATTTGGACATGGAGATTCTCTGGTAACACTTGCCCCCAGGTGTGGGACACCAACAACCACTGACGTAGGGCTTTCTGTCCGAATTATAGAAATGTGCATATACGAGACTACTGTTTTGTCTGGTCTGCCTGTTAAGCTCTGTGAGGAAGCTCTCTGGGGTTATCTGGACCCAGTAGGTTGAGTTTAGTGATGATGCGGTTTGGTTCTTTGATTTTTTGCTTTTCTTTGCTTGGAACTTAGTTTGTGTGTTTGTTACTGAGTAGCACTTGTGTTTTCTGTTTGTCTTTGATCTTGTAGAATGTAAATTAGAAGTAATTTTCAGAACTTTTTTATTACTGCTGTTTGTAGCTAATTCCATATTTGCTGTTTCTTCTGTTGATTCCCGAACTTTTGTTTTTCCTGGTAATTTATGAAATACGCTTTCTTTTACTGATTCCTGAAACAGTTTTTCTCTATCTGATACATCAAATATTTTTCCTTGAAATACACTGTCTTCTCTTAATTCCTGGAATTCTGTCTGCCCCTTAGATTGCAGGAATACTATGTCTTCTGAAGTCTGTAAGACTGGCAGAGTAGAGCTGTAATCATTATTTATATTGTGGTCTAGTGTTTTTGACTCTGTGCTGTCATGAACAATTGTATTTGAGTATGCTTTAGGTGATTCAGCATTTCTGGTATCAAGTACATTAGTAACTTTACCTGGCACATTTACATAACTATCACTATTTTTATCTGGGTGGTCTGTACAACTTTCAGTGCTACGTTCAATATGTGGCAGCAATGTCGTTGTGTCATGACTGTTTCTAGCAAACAGAATAGCGCTCACATACAGCTGTGAACTTATTTCTGTTACAGACTGAACAACCACGTAATGTGAGCAGAGATAACTCTTCACCTGTTTCACGTAGTCACTGGCTGCCATTGCTAAAAGTACAACAATGTCATCCTCCTGGCGGACGCATCTGTCATATTTAAATACTGCTGTGTACTTCAACTGAGCCTCAGAGTCAACAAATGTATCTAAGAAACTAATTACAAAGTTGTATTTCTTTAAATCATTAATAAGACTCTGAAGTTCTACTCCTGTTTTACGAAACAGGACAAAATAATCCATAATGTGATATTTTTTAAATATTGCAATGTACTTGATTTGTGGATCTTTTTTCCCAGACTTGGGGTATTTCCATTGCTGGAGTTTATTTATTTTCTTGCCATGCAACAGTTTGGTGGCGATATATGAAAAATCCTTTCTTACAGTTGAAATCCAAGTAATGATAAAACCATCTGCTTTAACGTGTGAAATAATCTTTGAAAGAGTGGATTCGCTCACACATAAGCAAATAATCTGAGATTTATCCTTGGTGACAATTTTCAGTCCAAAATCACTGTCAGTAGTCAGAATATCTTGGCCATACATTCCTGCATCAGGTAAGGAACATAAAGCACATTTGATTACTCCATTTAAATCTGCATCCGCGGCCCAGGAGTTTAACAGAAAAGTCCAGTTTAAACCACTCTGATGATGAAAGAGGGTTCCACATGAACCATCCATACCTCCAGTGTGACCCCAAGACTTGCCGTTATCTTGAACATCCCAGCCTAATCCATACCAGTCTCGGCCGTTCTCAAACTCTGGTCGTGACAAACTGTCAGTTGCCTGACTGCTTGTCATTAAAGGTAAAAGCCAATCTGGTTGAAGTCTGATTAAACAAGTGTATTGATTTCAGATTATTTACATGTCTTTCTATATTATTTTCAGGAAGAAAACATTCGTTGGCAGTTACTGTTAAATTGCAAGTACTGCACTTGTTTTCAGTACATGTCTCGAAAGTCTGGCTAGACTGGCAAAAGACATGATTAGAATTATACTGCCAATTAGCTGAGTGACGATTCTGGCCAGATTCACAGCCTACAACACTAAAATTACACTGTATTCCAGTTGGGTCCAAATTCTTGCCATGTTTAGAGTCTAAAACACTAGAATTATAGCGTACATTTCTTGAATCCAGATTTCGGTCTGGTTCACAGCTTACAACACTAGACTCATTTTCATAGTATAAATGTCTTTCATTGGCTCCTACCCCTGAGATTATGTGAACTATGCTGGAAGAAACCCTTTTGTCAGCTCTACTGGTATGATCATAACAGCTGTCTTTGTTAACTCTTTCACTTCCATAAAAGTTGTTTCTATCACATGTTTCCATTACTAACTGCTGCGTTGCTGACTGGCAATGCTGATCTTCTGGTACCAGTTGTTCAGCATCAGTCCTCATATTGAGGGCAGCCTCTGCCGTGTTGTCAGGCTGTCCTCTATAATCATTTGTGTTAGACTGGTTGACAGCTTCTTCCATACAATCAATAAACCTGAGTAAAGAAACAGTATCAGCAACAAGGCCTCCATAAGATGCTGAACTCTCCATGGCCATGCCACCATACTGTGGCAAAACCGTGCCTTCTTCTGGGTAGATAGAATTAACCACTGGTGGCTCCCGGTTATTGAAATACTCCACCTGGTAAATAAAGAGAAGAGAAAGGAAACAATAACATTGCATTTTATGAGTTTCTCTTTGAGTTCATTTGGTGTCAGGAAATGATCAGATATGACTGAGCTACTGTATAACTGCAGTTGTCACCACTTGTTCTCTTTTAATGCCAAATGTTGGGCAGCGTATACCAAACCTGACATCCCACACTAAAAATAACTTCGGGCAGAGGAAAAAAAGCCTGGCATATGACATAACAACATCTAGTTTAAGAATGGAGATGAAGGTGGTCGCCGCAGCCTTCCAATGGATTGAGAACCAGATGCACACACATGTCATGACTGTAACTGACTCACACAGCATGTTGAGAAAGGTGAAGATATGTATGTTACGTGCAGAGTGGCAAGCATTGCTTCAGAGGTCCTGCATAATTAGTGCCTTTTGGATAGTATCTCCAGGCCATGCCAGTGTGTTGGGAAATTAACAGAAAGATAGACTAGCTGGTTCTGCACCACTTGGTGGTAAACTGGTGCATGCCAAGCTTGAAGCAAGGGCCCTTTGGGAGCCAGTAAACAGTGCCTGAGGCACAAGCAGATCATCATGGTCTGAAGAGAATGGTATAGCGAGGAATGACCAGGAGATTGGCTGATGTTCAACACTTAAGGAGGGGCGAGAAACTGGCTGATGTTCAACACTTAAGGAGGGGCGAGACGGACACCCACAATCAGACTGGTAATAGTACCGTCAGAACAGGAACTCTGTGCTCACTGCTGAAGATGAGGATGGAGCGCTTATGGGAATGTCCCAAGTGCTATGATGACAGTTCTCAACTTTTAACTCCTCTTGACTCAGCATGCCAATACCCGAAGCAAAAATTAAATGCACTATTTACCTCCCTGCATTTGTAGTGACTCCTTCTTCTCTTGCCCACAATGATGCCACTGATACTCAGGTCCTGGAGAAAAGTCTGCAAGACTCTGTGATATGGCTGACCACTCAATGTTTCAATGATTTCTCCAAGAACTAGGTAGCCAAGGTTGGAGTAAGAATGCCAGGTACCTGTGTTATCACAGAAAAAATATGTCAAGTTACTGTTTTATATTGTGAACTGGTCAGGCCAACATGGTAAATATGTTTGCAGGTGCCGTTAATTTCATTGCAATTACAATCTATATTTTTTAAGCAAAATTACATGCTGCAAAAATTTTTAAATTTTTTTTAAAATAATACTGAAATACTTAAAAATTTAGAACAATTTTGTGTTTCAAAAATATCTGTTGTCTTCTAACCCACCAAATTGCAAGAACAGTGTGTGAAAAGAGATGAGATCAAGCATGAGCACATGCAGTAAGCCAAAGAATAATAACAATAAACCAACAACAGAAGTGGCATCGTCAGCCGCTATACATTGTGGAATTTACTGAAGCAAAATGGGGCAGGGGGAGGGCTTTTACTAAAACGCTAGCTTAGTCTTAGTGAGCTAGCCAGAAGAGAAAAAAAAAACAAGTAGGCAGTTGAGAAAATAAATGTGGTTAGAACAATAAGGAGCTCCCCGCTGAACTGCAAAAAAAACAGGAAAATTAAAGAAAAGACAAGGGTTCTTCTGTGCAAGGAACATGAAATTTGCTCATAGTGTAGGCAGTGAATATGTGAATAGTGATTTAAACAACAACAATTTGGTTATACAGGCAACGCTCAGGCAGACATGTGCACAAACTATAAGTTCTACCCTGAATAAACAAATGGAACATAACTATCAAATTCAACATCTGTTTATTTCCCTGAACACAAAACTAACATGCTTCACAGATAACAATTTGATGTGAATATTCTATGCAATCCTACTTTGTCAACTGAGATAAGAAAAAGAGTGCTCAAGAGCTATGTAAATCATATCCAGATGAACAGAAGTGAATCATGCACAGTTGGACATTAAGTGAAAAACTATTTGGAAGCGGCAGATATGTGGTTTTATAGATGAATGACGAGAATACCTTCAACAGATAAAATGAGTAGTGAAGATGTCCTGAAATAGAAACTGACTCACAAAGAGAACTGACTGCCCATATGTTGGAATGCATCTGAATAAGAAGCAAGGAACCAACAGTCTGCATACAAATAAGTTAGATCTGTAAAACTGGAACAAAACTAAAGTGCAGAGGTGGATAGACAACCAGAATTTTCTGCAGGATTTACAGCCAGTGAATAGGAACAAGAAGAAGAAGAAATGAAGTTGCCTAAAAGTACAATTAAAGTCAGTTATTTTAATTTGTAACAAGTAAATAAAGTTCAAGTGTTTATAAAGAGATAACATCACATAGAAGATATCTGGCAGAGATTCTTATAAAATGAAGAAAATCATATGCAATAAATTGCTTTTAAAGGCATAAAGACAAGTAAAGTATCGAATAGAGGCAGTCATTACTATAGGCAACAGGCTTTGAAAAGCCTGAACAAAACATAAAACTTTAAATTGTATAGTTTTAAAAACAAGTTACATATTTTTCAATTCTAATTTTATTTCAGTTTTAACATATGTTAGTGAAAGTTGGAGACCCCAGAAAGACGTGGAACAAAAGTTTAATGCATTCAAAAAACAAATACCTGAGAAAAATTATGAACATAAAATTTGACGAATTTAAAATGGGTGGAGAAATAAGAAAAATATCAGGGCAACAACTAGCATCAACAGTTATAAAATGGAGAAGATGGCGCTATTTTGGGTATGTCCTGAGAAGAAATGACCAGGGAATCACCAAACAGGCACTTAAATAAAAAGAAACCCCGAAACAAACATGACAAGAGGGCCAAAGGCACTGGACAGGATTCCATCCCATCCATGATATTGAACCAGCAGCATAGGATAGAATGGAGGAATAGACTGCGAGCCATGTGAGACACATAATGGCACAACAGGAGAATGATGATTGAAGATGATGGGACACACAGAAATATGACTCCCTCAGCCAGTTAGCAAGGCACCTGATAATGGTGACGTTTTTGTTAAAACTGCTGCAGTGGGCATCAGAAAGAGGTAGTCATTATTTGTAGACCCTAAGAAAATTAGAAATGTGACCACCGGCCAGATTTAAATAAAGACAGATAAAGAAAAATTAAAAAAAAAAAATCTTGACATTTTTTTTTATTATATCCAAGAAAAATTGACAGCAAATATATTTATTCCTGCTACTGGAGATCAGGGGATATGGAGAAATGTGACTGCCATTGCCAGTTATCAGGGCACTTAATAATGATGATGACTGTGCCAAAACTATTGCCGTGAGCAGTATTTGTACACTTCAACATGCTTGTCTTCAATATCTTGTGCAGTGGTTTTCAACCTCTTTCAGTTGGCATTCCCCCTGAATATACAGCAAGACCCACCACCAAACTCCACTCCCCTTAAAAAAAAAGAGGAGGACCCAGAAAAAAGGCAACATCAAAAGTATGGAGATACGTTTGGTCAGAATGTGTTTTTAACTACAATTAGTGCATATGTTATCCAATGTATCAGATTTTTAATTGTAGATGTACATACTGCTGAGGAAAGCAAAAATGTCCTTGGCTTCTTGTTTTAGAAATAGTTTTAAAAAACATTTTATTTCTCTGGAAACAATTTTAGTACAACGGATTTTTACAGGTACAAATGGACTCAATTTCAAAACACTCCCCCGAAACATTTAGAAACCACAGATCAAGTGGGAAGTCTAAAAATATCATTTGCACAAAAACAGCCATTTATCACATTAAACATGATAAAACCTGCACTATACACCTAATAAAAATAATCCCGTCAAACAATGCTGCATGTAGGCCCAGAGTATTTCTTATCTTAAAACTTATGATAAATTTATCATTGCTCATATAAACTTCTTGTCTTGAAACACCACTTAAAAATTACTTCACTTCATACTGTAACTTCACTTTAACAGAATAAGGTCACATGAGTTCACTTAACAGATTGCTTTGGGTCAGTATGATTATCAGTTTGAGAGAGTTTATGATTTATATCAGTGTCACTGTTGTTGCTGCATTAACTATTTGAGTCCTAAGCAAAGCATGGTGTATGGCAGGTTCTTGGTCTTGCCCAAAAAAATGTTGGATGTTGAATTGAGAATCGACATCATAGCGCTTGAGACACTCCCAAAAGTGCTTCCATCTTTAGCAGCAGAGTTCCAGTTGCGATGATACCGGTAACTGTCTGATTGTTTATTCATCTCACCTTTCCCTTAAGTGCCAACCAGACCACCTGGTAAAACATCACAGCGCCATTCTCCTCAGACCATAATGATCTATCTATGCCTCCGGACTGTTCACTTGCTCCCAAAGGGCCCTCACATCTAGTTTGTCATACATCAAATTCACCACTAAGTGTATGCGATACATCCTTGGTTTGCCGATGGTTGCAGGTAGGCACAAGGTGCTGCAGGCGAAGTCATATCTCAGGGTAGCTGCAGACACAGACCACCCTCTGCATGAAGCTCTGGGTGCAGTTAAGGGTCAGCGGCTGATAAGAGGGAGGTCATAAATGGCTCAGGCAGAAGACACAATCAGACAGGTTTGCATCCTTGAGAACATTAGGCGGGGAAAAGAGTGGGTCAAAGTGCCACCTGAACAGTCAGACTTGTGTAGAGTCATATTCAAGCTGAGCTGGGAATGCAAAGACTGGCCAGCAGGTGCCACAGAGGTGGAAATTCAGCAATTAATTCAAGATAATGCTTGCTCAGAGGATTTGATCATTTACACAGACGGTTCAGTGTCAAGAGGCAAAAGAAGTGCTTGGGGCTTATTAGCAAAAGTTAATGGTCGACGTTTGGTGCAGGAGAGCCTGGCATATGATACCACAACATCCAGCTTAAGAATGGAGGTGGAGGCGGTCACTGCAGCTTTTCCCTGGCTAGAGAACACGACACACACACACATTGTAATTGTAACTGATTCAGAAAGCATGCTGATGAAGATCAGAACAGGTATTCTTCGTGCAGAGTGGCATGCTTTGCTGCGGAGGACACAGGTGAGAAGTATTATCTGGATTTTTTCACCGGGGCACGCCGGTGTGTTGGGAAATAAACAGGCGGACAGACTGGCTGGCTCTGCACAACTTGGTGGAATACTGATACATGATAAGGCAGACGTGGTTAGTGCCCTGTGGGAGAGCGTGTACAGTTCGGAGGAGCAGATGGATCACCAGTCTGGTGAGATTGATGCGGCGGGCAGTGACGCGAGATTCTGGCAGATGCTCGAGGCTCAAAGAAAAGGCAAGACAGACGTTTAATCAGAATGCTACTGGCACCATTGGTATCAGAACTCTTCTCTGGCTGCTGAAGATGGGGACAGAGCGCTTATGGGAATGCCCAGAGTGCTGTGATGTTGGTTCTTGAATCAAATCAAATCAATCAAATCAAATCAACCACTAAGTGGTGCAGAACTGGCCAGTCTATCTGCCTGCTCATTTCCCAACCCACCGCCATGACCTGAAGAAAATATCCAAAGAAACTAACAACCCACAACCCGGGACCTCTGAAGTGATGTTTGCTACTATGCATGCAATATGCCTATCTCCACCTTTCTCAACATACTCTGTGAGTCAGTTTTGCTCTTGCCAACGAAACCTGATATATCAGGTCATCAAAGTTCCAACTTCATAGTCAATGTGTCAATCCACAGTGGCATCGTTCCTGTGCAAAGAAAAGCCACAGAGAATATCTATCACTGTCCCTTGGGAAAAAAAATTGATACAGACAGCAGTCTCGACAAAGCTAACAGCACACACACAAATTAAGTGCATAAGGCAGCCATAAGAAGTACCAGCATTAACAGCCTGGCACTAGAAATTCAGTTTAACATTGACAGAAACAGCAGGTATAACAGATCAGTTTGCACACCCATATAATTGCATAAGGTACCATCATTTCCTGGCAACATGCCACTCTGCCACTCGCCAGTTTTTGAATCTGCAGTTTACAACACAGTTAAAAGGCACATCATGCACTCTGCTCAGTAGCTGGATGACGGAACTATATTTTTCACAGTCTACACATGGAAGAAAATGCAATGGCTAACTACTGTCAAAAGTAAAAACTTGCCACTACTAAAAACAATAAATCTGCCTGTTTACCATATTGACCAGAGTTTAAAAAAAAAAAAAAAAATTACTTTCTGAGACTCAATGCAGGAAAATGCAATGGCTAACTGCCATAAAAAGCAAAAATTTGCCATGACTAAAAACAATAAATCTGCCTATCTGCCATAATGACCAGAGGTTTAAAATAAAACTATAACTCTCTGAGACTCAATAATGGCAAAACATATTATTTATATTCTCCTTTTCCATCAGTATAGCAGAGTAGGACAGGGTAGTACTTAGTGTAGGTGTAAGTTGTGACATAATTACTTATTAAGAAGCTGAGTACGGTATCTGGGATTTCTCCGGTTATACTTACAATCAGGACGCGACTCTTTGAGTCACAGGGTGTTAAACCCTCAAACTGCAGTTTGCAGGGAAAAAAATAGTCAGTCAGTCATTGTATAATTAGTCTTACTGTCTATATTTGGAAACATGTACCAAATAAATCTAGACTACATGCAGGCTACTTCCGAGTACCCTTCTTAGAAGACTCAAAAATACATTCTTAACATTTGTGAAAGTAATTCACTCCTGATTTCACAGAGTGGTCATTTCCCTTGAGACAACTGCTTTAGAACTATTAGGAAATAAATGAGTTAATCCCAATGCTTCTGAGTTATCTACTCTTGCTAGCTCAAAGCTGTTGAGTTATCTATTCGTGGCAGCCCAAGGTACAGGGCTTAGTTCATGTCGTAAGTGTACTATCTGTTATCATTTTGTTACACTATATTATCAGCATAAATCGCACAGCAAGGAATCTAGTAATCATTATAAGTACCATGAAACCTGTTATTAATCAATATAGATGCACTTGTTAGATAAACTCTTTCAGCTCCCTAACAATAAATAATATCTTTGTCAGTACACCAAAGTCATGTTAGTGCTTAATTTCTCTCTCTGTCTCTCTCTTTGTTTCTCTCTGTCTCACTCTCTCTCTCTCTCTCTCTCTCTCTCTCTCTCTCTCTCTCTCTCTCTCTCTCTCTCTCTCTCTCTCTCTCTCTCTTGAGAAACCTGAGATCTCTGAAAAATAGTGTAAATACGGGAAATATTTTATTCTGACCCTTTGGGGGGGGGGGGGGGGTGTAGGAATTCACGGGTGCTTTTCACATTAAAAAAAATAAATAACATGTAAAAATGCACTAAGGTGAAAACTGCCAAAATTGTACTTAGGTAGGGTGACCATACATTCCATTTTCCCCGGGACAGTCCTGTCTTTTCGCTGTGTACTGGCCGTCCCATGGAGGGTGGGGTTATAACTGTTATCTTGAATGTCCTTTTACTTATATAGAAATATAAAGAGACTTGAAAGCACACAGACAACATAATTATATACAGAGACCCTTCGTGTGGGTTCTGGGGCTCTACTGTGGGGAAAACAAGAACAAAAACAACCCAAATGGCAAGGAACAACTAAAGTGCACACACAAAAATTAGTAAAAAACAAAACTCAGGCCCCGGCTCAAAGCCAAAGTCCATAAGGAGGAACAACCAGGACTTTCCGCCGGAGCTGTCAGCCGGTGAACAGAGAAGAAGAAGAAGAAGATATACAGAGATGAAGACCAAGGACAGGACATGTGAGCAATTGCAGGGGATGGCATAAAACAAGATGGTTTGCCATAAATTGAATATGTGCCTAAGTTGCAGGTGAGGCTAAAGGGCAGAATAAAGAGGAGAATAAAAGTCAAATAAAAAATAAAATATAAAAGTTTTTATAAAATAAGCTTTATTTAAAATGCAAATATTAATCCACTAAAATTATAGAAAAAAATTGTTTATCAAACAGACTAATCGACACAAGAGATTAAATAATTTCTTTTTAGTATATACAGATAATTACATAGTATACGTGCAGCATCCGTGACTTAGGTGTTGCGAGTCCGACTTGTAATCCAACGTACTGCGATCGAAACCCACTGCTAGCTGCATGGATTTTCAACATGGTATGGGGCGTTGCAGGTTGACCCAGTCTAAAATGGGTACCAGGATGGCTGTCCTGGAGAAGTAAAGACGGCCGGCGTAATGCTGACCACATTACCCATCCAGTGCTGATTGGTCTGTAAAAATATGGGACACTCTTCCTATATACCCGATGCGCCTGAGGCGTGAAAAGGGATCTTTACTTTACATAGTATATGTATATGTAACAACTGAATCAAATCTTCTTCTTCTTCTTCTTCTTTTGTTCACTTGAAAATAAATTATCTATATCTGCAATGTTGTTTTTAGTATAAACTTCACTGTCTTTTTGTAATTCACTCAGCGAGCCGTAAAGTTTGACTTGCACAGATGTTTCTCTTTCCCAAAAGTTTTGTCATATTTGGGACACTGAATCAAATGTATACAGATAATGGCTTATACTTTTGACTGTTCAAACCTAGTAGTATATATTGTTAGTTAGGCACCCCATACTTTTTATTGTTCTTCTTCTTCTCTTCCACCTTGCTTTTAGTTAATGTGTGCAAAATTGGAGTTTGGTAGCTTATCAGGAAACAGTGTAAAAATCAAACTCAAAGTTGTGACCAAGCATCCATACCGACAGACAAACAGACAAATGTAAAGTTAATAAGAGCTTACAAAAACAAACTTTTTAAATAACACTACCAGGTGAGAACTGCAGTTTTCTTCTCAAAGCATAAGCTAACAGAGCAGAGTTGTAGGTTTGAGAGTCTGGGTGTTCTTTCACAACACATTGGGGCCGAACAAAGACAGCGTCTCCAACCTTGTCTCTGTCCCAGCCTGCTGAATGTTGAAGGAGATGTCGGACAGTGATGTTTTTCATTCGTTTGTCTCTGGTCCTGTAGGACTTCAGTATGCCTGTCATAATGGATGTACGGTAAAGGTAATCTCAAATGCTACTTAGGACAAGAAATTCTGATGTATAAAAAGATCATGGTTTTATGAGGTGAGAGAGCAGTTTTCATAACTGATTACTGATTTAAAAATTGACAACTCAGCATACAGTACATACCCATAGATGCTCTGTCTCCTGCAGCAAAAGATGCAGACTGTTCCATTAACACATGGTTGTACACATGTCTACTGTTCCTCTTACATATCCTCTCTTGCTGTCATCATCATGTGCCCTGCCAACTGGCATAGGCTCTCTTGCGTCTCCACAGATCACAATTACCTGGTTGCCTGGAACAGCCCTCTTGATGATATCCCTCCATGCCATCGTTTAAGCCCACCCAGAATCATCTCTCTTGGTCTGTCTCTACCCCTTTTTCCACTGATCTTTCCAGTTATCCCAATATTCTCCAATGTCTCTTTTCTCATTATGTGGCCAAAGAACAGTGTTTGTCTCTTTCCTATTGTTGTATATAGAGATCTACTTTCATTAGCTTCTTTCAAGCAATTGTTGTTAGTTACTCTTGCCGTCCAAGGTATTCGTAACATTCGTCTCAGAAACAACATCTCCGTTGCTTCCAAGATTCGCTGCCATACAGCAGAACAGGCTCTATGTAACATTTCAGCAGCCTCTTTCTGACGTTAAATGAGAGCGATTTATTGCATATTTTTATTTTTTTTTAATGCAGTTTTCGCTTGACCTATCCTGCTTTTAATCTCTGTCACACATTTTACATCTGATGATATGATTGTTCCCAGATATTTGAATTTACTGACTCTACTCTCTTGCTGTATCCACGCTTAATTCCCAATTTACGCAGCACATGTAGTTTAATCTAAAATCTTATCTTTCACCAAGTCCCCACAGTGTGCAAGTCAGATGGAACCACAAACACCTCAGCACATTCTGCAGGCCTGCCCACTATACTTACAACTATGAAGAAAAACTTGGTCTCAAGAGCACAGTGCGCAGAGCAAGCTATGGGGAACCAGGAGGGACCTGCAACTGGCATGCAAATTTTTAGAGGCAGCCCACCTGACGATCTGACCTAAGCATACAAAACTGAATGCAAAAAAGATCATCCATCCTTTTTCAATCAGAAATGGGCATCAAAATAGTTACCTCGCTTAAAATGAGTGTCTTTACTGCTATCACTTGTTTAGCTAAAATATCTGCTCTTTCATTACCTTGCACCCTAACGTATCTAAGATAGTATTAAAATTACTCTAATGTTAACATGTTGATATTCAGTATCAATACATGTCCAATTTCAACCTTCCCCAATACCGACTAAGAATCAGTCACACCTGCCCCCTTATCCTTCCTAAACTCCCAGCATAACTAAGTAAAGTGAAAAACCTTTTTTTTCCATGTCTTGATGTATACTGCGCTAGCCACATCATTTCAGAGCGAGCCGCTGTGGTCTAGCGGCTAGATGCTTGTCTGTGGATTGGAAGATCGTGGGTTTGGTTCTTGAAGAAGGCTGGACTTTTTTTCAAAAATGACCTTGGCTCCCAGGTCAATCCAGCCTTGATTGGGTACCAGGTACAGTCCTGGGAAGTAAAGGCAGCCGGCGTGATGCTGACCACATCAGCCACCAAGTGCCGTTCGGTTTATAAAATATAGGTCTAGCCCTATATGCCCAATACACCTAAAAGCGTGGAAAAGGGTCCTTTACTTTACATCATTTTAGAACAATTGGCACTTGTTAGGTTTTGGGGTTAATCTCATACTAAAACAAAAAAGTTAGTTGCGTATCCTTTGCAGGACGTTGCAGAACCAACCCCAGCATTTTATGGCTGTTGCGGTTTTTCTAGGCAAATTTTAAGCTCAGTAGTTTGCCACTGCCTTCTGAGAGACCAGCTCTCGGTACCACTGTCGAAACCAATGCAAGAAAAACTTCCACAGCTGGGATCGAACCCGGCAGCCCGGCATTATGAAGTGCTTTCTCAACACCTAAGCCAAAGATGCCGAATTACATACTAGCTACCTTTATATCCGAGAATATTTCCATGTGTGTTCCAAGGTCCCAGTGTGGGGAAAGAAAAGAAAAAACAATAATACAAACCGTATCAAGCATGTCGTAAAAGTTTACTAATTAGGGGTATTTCCTTCAAAACAGTACACCTGCCTGATAGGCAAGGAACCAACAGTAGAACCTACATATAAGCCAGATGTGTAAAACTGATCTGCATGCAAAACTCAAGTTTTGGAAGAAGACTTAAGTCCAGAAGTAAACAAACGACCAGAACTTTCCACCAGATATTACAGCCGGAAACTGCGAAGAATATATTATGGTACCTGTTTCAGGCCAGGTCAACAGAAGCCAAAGAAAAGAAATCCTAACTTCCATGGGGAACACATATTAAAAGTTGCATAAAGACCTGTCAGTCGTACAGAAGACTGTTATGTTCAGTGTACCAAACCAGCTTGTCTAAAAGCTGTATAATGACTCACCAGTCTTGCCAAAAACTGTTGTGTTCAGTGGCATCTTCAGTTTGTCAAAGAGCTGTACAACAATGGCTGCAGTAACAGGCTTGCTGATGCTGGCAATTCTGAACATGGAGTCTTCGTGGACTCTACAGCCTGCCCCAGCAGCTCCATAACCTATACATAAATAAAGTAAAAACAAAAAAAAATTGTACAGGACCCTTATAGTACTAACATTCTTCTTCTTCTTCGCATTCACCGGCTGTAAAATGTGGCGTAAAATTCTGGTTGTTCATCCACCTCTGGACTTTAGACTTGTTTCAGAACCTGACTGTTGCATGCAAATCCATTTTACAGGTCTGACTTATTTGTATGCAGGCTGTTAGTTCTTTGCCTCTTGAGCAGATGCACTTCAAATTCAAAAGAAACCCCCAATTAGTCGATTCTTACGACATGCTTGTTTGGGGGGGGTGGGAAAAGGTTCTATTCTTGTTTTTCCCCACAATGGAGCCCCGGGACCCACACAGGGAGTACTAAAATTATATTGGATGTGGTAGACATCATGCTGGCCGCCTTTACTTTCCACAACTTTACCTGGAACTTATTTTAGTTTAACATAAACAAGTGAGAGTTAGTAAATTAAAATCTTTCTTAGAAGTAATTTTGTTGCAGTAAACTCTATAGCCTAGCTTTGCTTGGGCACGCCAAGAGATAGGAGAAACTGGAGTAAATTTACCAAATGTGAAAATCACAGAGGAAGACAGGCAGGGCAGGAACAAAAAAGAGAAGATGATTGGTAGAACAGGAGACAGAAGGCTGTGGACACACAATGATCTACAACATACAACATAACAACTATTTTATACTGATCTGTGCAGAATGGCTAACATCCATTCAGTCTAGTTCCCCATGTGGGTTCTGAAGACTTATTTTAGAGCAAAAGAAATAAGAACAGCCCCACAATCCTTTATTTAATTGTTACTACAAAAACGGACCCTGTTCCGCAGAAAGTCACATATAACAAAGCCTAGCTATCAACCAAATAACACAGCAAAGGCCCTTTTCAAAAAAAGAATGCAGATGAAGAAGAAGAAACTATCTTATGGAACCAGGAATTGGTTCCATTCTGGCTCCACTGTGATATATTAGCATTACACTAATTCTGAGAATACTCTTAAACTTGTCCATGTGGGGTGTTTAAAACATGGATGCTGATCATTACTAACATCATTCCCATGTGGGTTCCGTGGCCCTATTGTGGGGAAAACAAAAAATAGACCCAGTGCTTCCCTAACAAGCATATTTAAGAGTTTATTAAATTGGGGGCTTCATCTGAAGTCCGAGTGTATCTGTCTGAGAGGCAAGGAACCAACAATCTGCATACAAATAAGTCAGTTCTGTCAAAAGAATTCTGCAAGCATTCCACCACAAAATGGAGATTACTACCCATCCTCACTTTATTAACCAGACTTCCACTTGCTTCTAGTAAACCCCATGAAGCAGTTAAAAAGAGACTGTAGCCGTTACATTATCTGACCCTTGTGAATCTATCTCTCCACTGTATATAGCACCTGATTCTAGCATGTCATGGCTCCTCTATAACCAATATATCTACCCTAGTTTATTAACCTAGCAAAACAAACTAGGGGGTACCAATTAGGACATCAAACACACCTTCCTATCTGTGACCCATGATGGAATAGATGTGTAGTTATCACTGATAGCTAAAACAGAAGGTGTTTTACCAACTGGCACTCTAAAGTCTCTCAATAGCCACAGCTCTTTTGGCTGAAAGCAGTTCCTGATTAGGCTTCATTCTCTAAAGATATCTTTATTTGTGTCTTTCTATTAAACATTTAAAAAGCAATAAACATCTCACCTTGCTGATATAAAATAACTCCTTTCTTCGAAACAGCAACAGCTGCTCCTGGTATCTTTTGTTCTACCAGAAATCTACTGATTATCTGGTCAAAATGTTCCCAGCCTTTAGCTGTCTTGCCATTGGGACAAGTGCTACCTGGCACAAACATAAAAACAAATTAACATTTTGCACACATGGGCTTAGCTCTTCAACAAGACCTGAAGGTTTCACAATATAAGACTAAAGAATCTCAATGCTGATGGCAGACCAACGGGTCAAAGCCAAATACCACATTCAACCAATAAGGAGATTCTAATAAGGGCAGCCAAAATGGCCAAGCCAGCCCAGTGTAACCTGCAGTTCTGTGTGGGTAAGGATTAAGAGAACTAGTAAACCTAGTTGGTCATGATTTAAGCAATGTTCCGCAAAGGAGACGCTACATTAATTTTACATACCACTCCCACCCGAGGACTGCTTCACAATTTTACTATCAGAGTCACAGCGGTTTAATGCAGTCAGTCATTAATAGTGGTTCAGACATGATTCTCAGTTGTGGCAATATTAAATTTTGTATTTTTGATTAAAACCAGGGGATTTATAGTTACCAGGGGATTTATAGTTACCAGGGGATTTATAGTTACCAGGGGATTTATAGTTACCAGGGGATTTATAGTTACCAGGGGATTTATAGTTACCAGGGGATTTATAGTTACCAGGGGATTTATAGTTACCAGGGGATTTATAGTTACCAGGGGATTTATAGTTACCAGGGGATTTATAGTTACCAGGGGATTTATAGTTACCAGGGGATTTATAGTTACCAGGGGATTTATAGTTACCAGGGGATTTATAGTTACCAGGGGATTTATAGTTACCAGGGGATTTATAGTTACCAGGGGATTTATAGTTACCAGGGGATTTATAGTTACCAGGGGATTTATAGTTACCAGGGGATTTATAGTTACCAGGGGATTTATAGTTACCAGGGGATCTGGCTGATGCTCAACACTAAAAAGGAATTATACAAACAGTTACTGGTGCCATTGGAATTGAAACTCTTTGCTTGCTATTGAAGATGGGGACGGAGCACTTATGGGAGCGTCCTGAGTGCTATGATGTCAATTTCTTTATTTGACATGCAACATTCAACATTATGATTGATACGGCTTGCATTCGTAAAACTTTTTAAAATAGGGCTCAGGTAGTTAATTCTATTAATTAGGTGGTGCATAAGGAATTCTGAACCGAAAGAAATCCTTTCACTGTTGAAAATGTAATCCTGGACCACTGCTTTTGTAAGCAAACAAGCAACTAACCATTATGCTGTGGAAAACAGTTAAGATACAGAGGAGCTGAGTTGCCAGGGTTGGGGTACCTACAGAGCAAGTCCTCTCTTCACCTCCATGTGGACCATGAAGCCTAGCTGAGGACCACACATTTTGCTTGATGTAAGACCACAAGAGTGTCTCAGTAATGTCTCACAATGATGGTAGACAATCAAAACACAAGTCTCAAAAATATTTTAATAGCTTAACAACTTGCTGGAAATGAAGGTGTTGTTTGTACACTGGGACAGAAGAAAGTTAGAACTAAACCTCATTACTTCTAGTAAATGATCCTTCTACAGTGCAGACCTGGTTAGCAGAACTCGGGGGACCCAAGAAATGGTCCTTATCAGGAATTCCTCTGATCTAAATAAGAGTTCAAGCAAGAAACAATGCCGGTGATTTAAAAAAAAAAAATGTTCTTTACAATAAAAATTTGCCACATCTGACATCATCGTAAGTGGTCTGCACTGTAATACGTTTGATATATTGGGCATAGCTTCCTCTTCTTCGTGTTCACCAGTTGTAAACTCCGGCAGAAAGTTCTGACTGTTCATCCACTTCTGGATTTTAGTCTTGTTCCAGAACCTGAGTTTTGCTTGCACATCCGTTTTACAGATATAGCTTATATTTACGCAGACTTTTGGTTCCTTGTCTCTACGACAGATGCACTCTGGCTCTAAATGAAAAATATTTAATTAGTTGACTCTTAGGACTTGCTTGTCAGGGGGCAGTGGGTCTATTGTTTTTGTTCCCCACAATGGGGCCCTAAAATCCACATGGAAAGCATCAGGCGCATACAGCTAGACCTATATTTTTATTGAAAAGCATGCACTTGTTGGATGATGTGGCAAAATAAATTTTTTTTTAAATTTGCTTCTATGCAGATTTGATCCATAGACTTTTGAGGTGAGAGGTGAGCATCTAGCCACCATACCTCCTCCCTGTATGAATAATTACCTCCTCCCAATATATCTACATTCTCCCTAAATATCTACCTCCCAATACATCTACCTCCTTTCTATATATCTGCCTACTCCCAACTACATCTATCTTCTCCCTACATATCTACCTACTCTCAACACATCCACCTCCTTCCTATATATCTGCCTCCTCCAAATACATATACCTTCTTCCTACACATCTACCTCCTCCTAATACATCTACCTCCTTCCTATATATCTGCCTCCTCCAAATACATATACCTTCTTCCTACACATCTACCTCCTCCTAATACATCTACCTCCTTCCTATATATCTGCCTTCTCCAAATACATCTACCTTCTCCCTACATATCTGCTTACTCCCAACTACATTTACCTTCTCCCTACTTATCTGCCTATTCCCAATATATAAACCTTCTCCCTAAACATCTGCCTCCTCCCAATACACCTACTTTCTTCCTACATATCTGTTTTCTCCCAATTCATCTACCTTCTCCATACATATCTACCTACTCCCGGTCTGGGAGAGAAGTAGTTCTCAGGCTTATTAATAAAACTTGGAGGTCAAGCAAACTTCCAAAGGCATGGAGGAATGCATATATCGTCCCCATTCTTAAAACCAAAAAGCCTCCAGATGACCCCAAAAGCTACCGCCCGATATCCTTAACATCATGCTTGGGCAAAGTTGCAGAAAGAATGATAAACATGCGCTTATATTGGTTCCTTGAGAGTTCTGGTGTTCTATGCCATGAACAGGCAGGCTTCAGAACCAACAGATGCACAGAAGACCAGCTGTTCAGACTGACACAAAGAATACATGATGGCTTCCAGAATAAGAAACACACAGTGGCAGTCTTTGTCGACCTCCAGCAGGCCTATGACAGAGTATGGAGAAAAGGTCTCCTGATGAAGATGATGAGCATAGGAATACATGGCAGATTGTATAACTGGGTGAAATACTTCCTGAAAGATAGAACAATCCAGACTAAGATGCACAACGCAATCTCTTCTAAAGAAGTCTTGGAGGAGGGCTTGCCACAAGGCTCATCATTGAGCTGTACACTATTCCTAATCTTTATCAATGACCTGCCAGAACAAATCAAGGCCGAAAAAGCCTTGTACGCTGATGACCTAGCAATATGGCAGAGTCATGAAAATGTGGAAAGTGGAGCCCAAAGACTGAATGGAGACCTTAGAAGACTGCATGAGTACAGCCAAAGATGGAAACTCAAAGTTAACTGTGCAAAGACGGTCTACACAATCTTTACCAAAAGCCACCAAGTAGCAAGGAAGAATATTAACCTGAGGTTAGACAAACACCAAGTGATGAAAGAAGAGCATCCCACATACCTTGGAGTCACACTTGACCGGCAGCTCAGCCTCAAGAACCATATTGAAAACATCAGGAATAAGGCATTGAGGCGGTTACAGTTATTAAAGAGACTTGCAGGCACATCATGGGGATCAGACAAGGAAACTCTGAGGGGCTTATATCTAGGATATGTTCGCTCTGTGATAGAGTACAACAACTCACTGCTTACAACTTGCTCCAAAACTAACCTAGAGACTCTTGACAGAGTACAAAATAATACCCTCCGATTAATCTGCGGAGCTATGCAGTCTACACCAACTGCTGCATGTGAAATCCATACAAATGTGGAACCCCTCGGGCTGCGGAGAGAAAAAGCCACTTTAGAAATTTATGAAGGATGCGTTAGGAAAAATCGTAACCATCCTAATAGACATCTCGTAGAAAACTGGGAATACAAACAAAGAATAAAGCACAAATCGGTTTTACACTGTGTTAATGAAATTCAGGACAGATACCACCTCCCAGAAAGATGTCAAGGAATTCAGAATGTTGCAAGAAACCTACCACCACATGCTCGCTTTAAAGCTCCAGAAGTCCGAACTAAATTGGTAGGCGAGGAAACCAAACAGTCCGACCCAATCGCTCTTATGAACTCATCACTAAAGACCGTTGATTCTTACCCCCAAGAATGGATACATGTCTATACTGATGGATCAGCATTTAAAGCTACCATTAAAGCAGGTTACGGAATCTACATAGGTTATCCCGATGGATCTGTTGAAGAGATTTTTGATGCATGCGGGGAATTCTGTTCAAACTATGAAGCTGAAATAATTGCACTGGAAACAGCAGTATACCACCTAAAGACTGTAATGGATGTTTACCCTTCAAAGGTCCAAAATATTGTCATCTTCACAGATTCAATGTCTGCCCTTCAAGCTCTGGAGGGCAGTGAACGCTGCAGAACTGACATAGCCAAGATAATCCTGGATGCTGATCAGCTTATTACCTCATACAACATCAGAATTGTGATGCAGTGGATCCCAGGTCACTCCGGCACACCAGGTAATGATAGAGCTGACAGATTGGCAAAGAAAGGACAACACAAGAACAACCACCTACAGCAACAACCCTCCAGACAGCAAAAACACTGATAAGAGCTATAAACAAAGAGACTTGGTTGAACAGATGGGCCATGGGAGACACTGGAAGAGAGGTTTATAGACATATGTCTGGCCCTGATCCTAATGACAGCATTAACCATCTAACAAGAAGGGACCAGGCCACCATCTTCAGACTTAGAACGCAACATACTCCACTCAATGGACACCTAAACAGAATACAGCCACAACACTCCCCAGAGTGCCAGCTATGTAACTACCCCTACGAAACTGTTAAACACCATCTCTTTGAGTGCCCAAAACTCAGTGAGACAAGAAGAACGCTACTCCCTCCGAGACCAGACAAGTGGAACACCTTGTACGGAGGAAAAGAAAAGCTTGTGAAAACATGCAAATTCCACTACATGGCATTGGGCCAAAGGGCGAAAGCTCATGCGCCGCTGGATCGATAACAACAACAACAACCTACTCCCAATACATTTATCTTCTCCTTAGATATCTATTTCCTCCCAATACATCAAACTCCTTCCAGTACATCTATCTTCTTCCTATACATCTACCTCCTCCCAATACATCTACCTCCTCCTAATACATCTACCTCCTCCCAATACATCTACCTCCTCCCAATACATCTACATCCTCCCAATACATCTACCTCATTCTACTACATCTACCTCCTCCCAATACATCTACCTCCTCCCAATACATCTACCTCCTCCCAATACATCTACCTCCTCCTAATACATCTACCTCCTTTCAATACATCTAACTCCTCCTAATACATCTACCACCTCCCAATACATTTACCTCCTCCTAATACAGCTACCTCCTCCCAATACATCTACCTCCTCCTAATACATCTACCTCCTCCCAATACATCTACCTCCTCCCAATACATCTGCCTCCTCCCAATACATCTACCTCCTCTCAATACATCTGCCTCCTCCCAATACATCTGCCTCCTCCCAATACATCTGCCTTCTCCCAATACATCTGCCTCCTCCCAATACATCTACCTCCTCCCAATACATCTGCCTCCTCCCAATACATCTGCCTCCTCACAATACATTTACCTCCTCCCAATACATCTGCCTCCTCCCAATACATCTACCTCCTCCCAATACATCTGCCTCCTCTCAATACATCTGCCTCCTCCCAATACATCTAACTCATCCCAATACATCTGCCTCCTGCAATTACATCTACCTTCTCCCAATACATTTGCCTCCTCCCAATACATCTTCCTCTCCCACATCTGCCTCCTCCCAATACATCTACCTCCTCCCAATACATCTACAGTGAGCAAATTGAAGTGATATCGTTTTACAACAACCTGTATAAATGAACAAGAGCATTTACTTCATTTATTGATTTAAATCAACCAACTACATTTCAATACCTGATAAGACACTATAGGAATGTTCTGTGATATTTCCCTGCATTAGGATATTCTCTACACTGCTTGTCTTAAAGCAATACAGGTTGTATCCTGTATTTAACACTGCCTTATTCAAACAGTTATTTTAACCCCGATAAGAACGAGAGCAATTTATTTTACAACTACAGGATAGGGAATGGGTCTACTCCTTCTGCTAGCATTGTAAAATATGCCCAATAGTAATCAGGTAAACCTCAGCAGTAAATTCCACCTCGGTTGCCAGATTAACACGAGCAAAGAACTCAAACGTTGGATAAATCTCGTTTCACCATTTAACACGTTAGTTAGTTAGTTAGTTAGTTAGTTAGTTAGTTAGTTAGTTAGTTAGTTAGTTAGTTAGTTAGTTAGTTAGTTAGTTAGTTAGTTAGTTAGTTAGTTAGTTAGTTAGTTAGTTAGTTGGGTTATCCTCATTGCACTCCGGACATGCCCATAGGTGCTCAGATCCTCCCCTCAGTATGAACCCCAACGTCCGATGGCTAATAGTACCAGTTCTAGGCACTCTTCCGAATACATATGTTCCATATTTCTAACTACATGACCTCTCAAGTCCCTAACAACGACCTCTTGAGGCCCTGAAAGGGATTTTTTGTCTTTGAATAATATGGGGCCGGTATTCGGAAGAGTGCCCCAGTTCTATGTTGATTAACAAGTCTTCTGGCGTGTCTGGTGTGCGTCTCGTTTTTTGCTGTACCGATCTTAATTCCCAAGTCTGCCATTCTGGCGAGTGATGTGGATTCACTGCCACCAAAGTCCTCTATCCTTCCCATTTCTCTGAGGGCATTGATAATATCAGCATGATCCATAGGCTGACCGTCGGTAGTGATAGCGGATCCAGCCAACCTGTCAGCTCTTTCATTTCCATCGACGCCTGCGTATCCCGGAACAAAAATAAAGCTGACTCCACGCACAGTGGACTTCTGTAATGATTCAAGCCATTGTCTTCGCACTGAACCTGCCTGAACCCTCCGGATCATACTCATTGAATCACTGAGTATACACACGCTGGTGTATTTTTGTGTTTCAAGCCAGGCAAGCGCTTGCGTCACTGCCATCACCTCCATCGTCATGCTGCTGGTTTGTCATGGAGAAGGCGCCGTTGGCTTCTTTGACTGTTCTGCCCGCTGAGCGTGCGTAAATGCCCATGCGCTTCTTCTTTGGCGTATATAACGGATCCGTCTGAATAGATTATTGCATCTGCTTCGTCTGAATTTTCACCGATGAGAGCGTTGACCTCTGCATTAACAGCAACAGGATTCTCTTCTCTACATCGCCTGTTGAGTGTGGACAATACAGGAAAATGTACAAATAAACGCCTGAGGCACAGGTATCCATTCTGCACCAGGTATGATGTCGGTTAGGCTGCATATTTGCCTAATAAACATCTTCTGCCCGACCTAGCCACGATTTCCCCCTCTTCAGTCTGTCGCCCTTTTTCACTAAAAAGCGCTTGATGCAGTGGGTGTTTCTTATCAGCACATATTTTGAGATATGCCCGAGCCCCTCCACATCCTGATCCTTTGGTTCATTGTTGGAAAGTCAAGTAGATACCTCATTGCTCCACAGGATGTGTCTCTTGTACATCCCAAAATAATGCGCATGGCTTCATTTTGCACCCTTTTCGAGTCGTTCAATCTGGGTAGCACTGACAGTGAGGATGGCCAGAGCGTATTCAATGGGGGGAAAGGACCAGACCGTAGAATAGAAGTTTTAGTAGTCTTTGCTCTATATTGGAAGCAGCGATAATCCTCATTGCAGATAGACCTTTGCGTGCCCTTTGTTATCACATGGTCAACGTGTTCCCTGAATGACAAGCTGCGATCGAACCTCACCCCGAGAAACGCCATAACATTGGTTCTGATCAATACACTATCACGCATTTTCACTTCTGGTAAGTCCGACTTGACAATGTGATTGTTCAAAGAGAACCATGACACTGATGCCTTCGAAGATTGACATAGGCATTGGAACCATCACACCAGGCGGCAATTCGATCGAGTTCTTTGTGTATAGTGCTGGCGATCTCCTGTCTATCACGCCCCTCGTCGATAAATCAAAATGTCATCAGCAAATGACAAAGTCCTTCCCTTTCCATTCAACTGCTGCTCAGTGATCATCACCGTATAAAACGTGAATAAGACTGGTGATAGCGGTGATCCCTGTGGCAAGCCTGGACATATCGTTTGTGGTTCTGAGGACCAGCTACCACATATTAGTACAATCTTTCTCTGGAACAGGACCGCAGCAATCCAGCGGATCAGAATAGGATTAACTTCTAGTTTAAGCAGTAATTGCATTAAATAATCATATGGTACTTTATTGTAGGCATCTTCTAAGTCCAACACTGCCGCACATGTCTCTTCTTTAATCTGAAATCCCTCGTACACATCGTAGGCGAAAACTGCAGCATTGAACCATGTCTCTTTATTTAACCTGTACCCTCCAAGTGTTGGTGGCACTTATCATGTAGTTCCAAGTAGGTGGTCAATCTTTGTGCGACAATTTTTTCCACAAGTTTGCCAACGGTATTCTGCATCGAGATGATTCTGTAGCCGCAGATCTTTGAGTGGTCTTTATTAGGCTTTGGTAGTGGGAACAAATAACTATGGAGCCATTCCTCTTGTATCTGGCCACTCTGGATGCTGATATTGAATTCCTTTGCCACGCTTTTCAAATCAGTATTCGACATCATCAGCATGTCGTTGTATCGGATGCCGTCAGGGCCTGGAGCAGTGCTGCGCGATTTCTTGAGGCAAGTTCTTAAAGTATCTGCAGTGATTGTGAGATCAGTGCCTAGCACAGTGTTCTCGCACAGCATCGACAGTTTCATCTTAACCCCTATTCTTGTAGCTTCGTATTTAACACGTGTTACATGTTCATGAAACACTACCTGTTAATCGAATCACATTCTCTTTTCACGTGATCAGAAACGATGGGTCACATGATGCATCTCTTGTATTTTAGTAACATGACAACTGTGATTGTAAACATTTTTCATGAGATAAACCGACTTATCAAGGGGAACATTGTAGTAGTAATTTGATCATAGGTATCCAATTAAACTTTCCTGCGGTATAATTAGAGGATATAAACAGTATATTTTGGGTGTCTTCTCAGATTCTGGATATTTACGTTTGTGTAGTACATTTAGCTATTGAATATTACATAGATTATAATATATTGGTATTGTTAAAGTATGCCTATATATAAGATTATAAGTATAATATATCAAATGCAAAGCTTTTCAATAAGTGTGATATTAATACTGAGTTATCAGCCTCTTCGTAAATTTCATTTTATACTTTTAGCGTTCATCGTCTGTAAACTCTGGCAGAAAGCTCTGGCTATTCCTCAGCTCCAGGACTTGAGTATTTTTCCAGAACTTGAGTTTTGCGTGCATATTCATTTTACAGATCTGGCTTATTTGTATGCAGACTGCTGGTTCCATGCCTCTAAGGTAGATGTACTTCGACTTTGAAGGAAGCAGTCCTAAATAGTCGCCTTCAAGTTGACCACTATGAAAAGACTTCGGTAGCAAAGGCGAAACAAATATTGCTCAATAACAAGGAGGAGAAGAAAAAGAATTCGTTCTTTCCATCTTTAGTTCGCTTAAGACAAAAAATATTTAATCCTCGCTCGACCTACTTCTTGGTAAAAGTGAAGCAAACGAAGTACCTTTTTTACACCGTTAGGCATATTAAATGCATACTACGACCAGTGTTGCCACTTTTCTTTGACAAAAAACATCCAAAACGGAGTCAAAAAATATATAAAAACATATAAATGTGCGAGGAAAACATCCAAATGGAAAGAGTCACAAATTACATAGATTAATAGCAATTGATATAAATAAACAGAAAGGGGGGGGGGGGGACCATTTTAGGCCGTTAAATATTATGAATTAATCAAGTAACAGAAAGTATTGTGAACGGCACTCATAGTGTCTAGTGTGTTCTTCTATCTTTCTACTTCTTTCTATGAGTGCCGTTCACAATACTTTCTGTTACTTGATTAATTCATAGCAATCGATTTGACTTACCCTAAAGAATCATGTCCTCATCTTTACTGAAGTCTGCCTCACAAGATCCACAGCATAAACTTAGCTCTGGTATGCTTTAGCTGTTCCAGTTTATTTTAATATCCAATCAGGGAGCTGATAAGTGGAACAGACTTTTCCTACTCTTATCAGGCCCAATTTTATTGTCAAGATAGCATTTAGGCTGTCAAATGTCATCCTGTTTCTTAGGTTAAATTTTATAAATTCACTCCAAATAAAATCATCTAGAAAAACATCTACTATCTAAACGTCAAAAACGCCATCTAAATGCAAGGGAAAACATCTAAATCTGGATGTAAAACATCCAAAGTGGCAACTCTGCCTACGACCTGCTAAATAGGGTGGTGGTAAGTCTATTTTTTGGGGGGAAAGGGGGAGGGGGCGAGAGAGAGAGAGAGAGAGAGAGAGAGAGAGAGACGAGAGAGAGAGAGAGAGAGAGAGAGAGAGAGAGGAAAAGAGGGGGGGGGGTCATCTCAGCTAATCACACAACAGCAACGGAACGGAAAATATGATAATTATTTCGAGATCGGGCTGACGACCAAGTCAGAAGCAAAGCAAAAATATATGAAACCCCGTTGTTACTGTTAGACTGGTGCACCGTAAAACGGTTACGAAGTAACATGTAGGCCAATCCAGCGTGGTGGGTAATTAACAGGCAGACAGATTGGCTGGATCTGCACCACTGGGCGGTGAACTGATACGTGACAAGGCAGATGTGGTCAAGTGGGAACAAGCAACGGAATCAATAATGGTAGAAGATTATTATAGCCTGGAGAGAATGAGGCATCTGGGTGTAACCAGAGGGTCTGGCCGGCTCACTACATTTAGAGGAAAGGCAAGACGTACATATAACCAGATTTTGACCGGTACCATTGAAACTCTGGCTGCTGAAGATGAGGACGAGGCATGCATGGGAATCCCCCGGAGTGCTGTGATGTCAATTCTTGACTTAACTCAACTCAAGTATGTGATACTTATCTATGTCGCTTGTTTTACCAGATTGGAATATCAGAATATCAGGCAACTTGCACGGACCGGTTACTATTCTTTAAATGAAAGTTGTTTACGCATAATTTATCCGTCTTTCAGTTACAGAAGAGAATGAAGCTGTTGGTAGCGTTAGTTCTTGTGGGTTTGACTAGGGAAGGATTTGCTGCTCCTGAAGAAGACTTGATCACCAACTTACCGGGACTTTCCTGGGAAATTAATTTCAAGCAGTATTCCGGATACCTTTATGGGGCCGGCACAAAGAGATTACACTACTGGTATGCAGTCTATTACATAATTATGTTGACGTTTACTCAATCAGTCATACTCATCCGTTTGTCTGTTTATCAGTCTGCCAGCACGTTTATCTGTTTGACAACATGAAAATGCTTTTTTAATTGAAAATGAACTACTACTACCACCACCACCATGACAACCACCACCCCGGCTGCTACTGCTGCTGCTGCTTCTACTTCACCCCTCACCCTCCTCACCATCCTCATCCACCTTTTTCTTCAGAGAAGAATTCTCACACTTACTGGAGCAGAATAGTACCCATTTATTCTTTTTTTTCAAAAATTGTTAACGCATATTTTATCTTTCTTTCAGTTACCGAAGAGAATGAAGCTGATTGTAGCATTAGTTCTTAGGGAAGGATTTGCTGCTCCAGCCGAAGACATAATAATTAAAATAAATTGAAGCTGTATTAAAAAAGTAACAATATAATTATATTGTTTATTAATATAATATAATATAATATAATATAATATAATATAATATAATATAATATAATATAATATAATATAATATAATATAATATAATATAATATAATATAATATAATATAATATAATATAATATAAATATAATATAATATAATATAATATAATATAATATAATATAATATAATATAATATAATATAATATAAAAAATTTAAAGTATTTAATATAATAAAGCTATTTCAATGAAAACAATGGAGCCATATTGTCAGAGTCATGCTAACGCATTTGGGAATGAAAGCTGATCTACAGACTAGAGACCACGCCACATGGGATAAATTTCGGTGCCCTTAAAGCTGACCCTCTCACTTAGAAATAGTTTTCATGTCTGTAGTTTCTGCTATTCACTCGCCAGCAACCCGAAGATTTGCAGTTCAAATCGGCATGGAGGTGGGGAGATGAGGTTCTTTCCCCCCTCCTTTCAAAAGTGTCATTGACTATAACGTCGACCCAGACTAAAATTAACGCCCACTAGTGTCCTGGGAGTCAGCTCTGTGGTCAAGTCGATGCGAACGCTTCGTAATGCCGGGGTGCCGGGTTCGATCCCAGCTGTGGGTCATGCGCTTTGCGTTGGTTTCGACAGTGGTATCAGGGGGCCGACCGTCCAGTATCAATGGCAAACTACTAGACGTAAATTTGTCTAGAGAAACCACACAACAGCCAGGGGCTGCTGGGGTTGGTTCTGCAACGTCCTATAAAGGATACGCAACTAACCTAGTGTCGTGGGAAGTCCTCTGATGTGTTGCTGGTCATATCACCCATCGAGTACCGATGGGTATAATCAAACATAGGTCTATCTCTCAAGGCCTGATGCGTCAGTGCTTGAAAAACATCGTTCAGTTACGCTAAAACATCAAAAGGATTGTCAACTATTTTCAGGTTTGTTGAGTCTTCAAGCAATCCAAGTTTGGACCCGGTTGTCTTATGGCTGAATGGTGGACCTGGATGTAGCTCACTTCATGGCTTTCTAACTGAGCATGGACCTTTCAGGGTGAGTCAGTGTTAACTGTTTATTGCTAATAACAATCATCGTCATCATCATCACGTGTCAGTACCTTGGCAGAATGTCACATGCATAGCAGCGAAATCATTCATTCCCTTATCCGTTTTTATGCTTTATGAAACTTTCAGACCCCAAGGATGTCCCTAATAGCTTGCTTCCACCGTCATCGATCCCTCTCTTCTTTCTTCTTCATAGAACCATATTCTCCCTTATTGTTCTATCCGAACAGCAAAAGACAGCAAATAATGTGGTACCATATGGTCATGTCTTCGGTCACATATGACTGCACTACCGTATACCAGTAGTCGGTACAACCTGTTTGCTTGCTCTATCCTAGGACGAAGAAATGCAGCCTAAAAACGTAATGTTATAGATGGGCAGACCAGACCCCAAGCTTTGGCTGGCAGCTGGTTTAGGAGGGAAGCTCCGATAAGTGCACAGAGCACTGCTCTTCTAATCTGACAGCCTCTGCAGAGTGCTTCGTTCCTTGCCTTGTTGAATTGGTGTTACCTTTCCCTTGGAGTAAACAAGATAGGCACAGGGAGGAATTATATGCATGGACAACACGTGGTTTCTACAATACTGCACAGACTTTGTGCTACACGAAAACGAAGAGGGAAATAAGAAGGACAATCAGCAGAAGGAGAAGGATTCGGAAAGGTCCGCGTGTGGGTTCCGGGGCCCTAATATAGGGAATCAAGAATAAGCCCACTGTCTACCCAAAAGCATGTCGTAAGAGTCGACTAATTGGGAGCTTGCTTCGAAGTCGGAGTGCATCTGCCTGAGAGGCAATGAACCAACAATCTGCACATGAATGAGTCAGATTTGTCAAACGGGTGCACACGCAACACCTAGGTTCTAAAACTGGACTGCAGTCCAGAAGTGGACAACAACCAGAACTTTCCGCCGGAGTTTAAGACGGTGAACGCGAAGAAGAAGAAAGAAGAAGATTCGGAAAGAGAACGCGGATGAGGTGAGAGGGGAGTGAGGGGGGGGGGGAGCGCTAATGGAAAATACGGGCTCCGAATGATGCAACCACAGGACGCACTGACAAGACTAATTTATTTAACACACATGTCTGGAGTCGCTCTCTTTGTCTCCTAAATGCCTTTCTCCACTTAGCCTTCCTCTAGCATCTTAACGTTCGCACGAACTTTTACAATAAAGTACGAAACAAAACAATTATGCATATCTTTGAATATATAGTATAAACTAGCAACATTCCAGTTAAAAGCACATTTAGACAATACACTTGAAATTCACACTCAGACGTGTAATAGGTTCCACTATTTCTGCAGGTAGCAAATGATGGTGTTAACTTAGAAGCCAATCCATATGCTTGGAATCAGGCAAGTTTTTTGTTTGTTTGCAAGCAATTTATTCTTGTCTTGCTCAGTTACTGTCAGTTGTATTTCTATTTATGTGCAGTGGTTATTGAATCATTATGTCTGTTCTAAACCCCCCCCCCCCCCCCCCCACACCCAAACCCCCACACCCCCCATTTCTTTCCGGGCTATCTTAACATGATTATGGCCCCCTGGGTAAACAAGTGGGGTGTGACTCCCATGACAATCAGGCACACAAAAAAAATGTTTTTTTTTTAAGCAAATCACTCTATAAGTAGATTAGCATGGGGCACCACGGCAAGGATAAGCGGAAGAAGGAGAAGAAGAAGAAGAAGAAGAAGAAGAAGAAGAAGAAGAAGAAGAAGAAGAAGAAGAAGAAGAAGAAGAAGAAGAAGAAGAAGAAGAAGAAGAAGAAGAAGAAGAAGAAGAAGAAGAAGAAGAAGAAGAAGAAGAAGAAGAAGAAGAAGAAGAAGAAGAAGAAAGAAATTGTTCTTTCGTTCTTAAGAAAACATATATGTACACCACGTTCTTAAGAAAACATATGTACACCACGTTCTTAAGAAAACACATATGTACACCACGTTCTTAAGAAAACATATGTACACCACGTTCTTAAGAAACCATATGTACACCACGTTCTTAAGAAAACATATGTGTACACCACGTTCTTAAGAAAACATATGTACACCACGTTCGACTTGTGAAGCAAACGAAGGATTTTTCTCACACCCATGGGCATACTGGGTACATAGTACTAGATCCATATTTTATAGACCAACCGGCACTCGATCTTTGATGTAATCAACATCACACCGGCTGCCTTTACCTTCCTGGGTGTTAGCTGGTACCCATTTTAGGCTGGGTGATTTGGGAACCAAGTTTTTGTTTTTAAATAAAAAGTCGACTCGATGCGGATTTGTTTTGACATGACCAAGTCATCTTCATCTTTTTCCTATGATAACATTTTGCTAGTGGTGAACATTTTATTTTACTCATAAATTCTTCATCTGTGAATATATCGGTATGATTTTTTTGTCCTTATCTTTTATTTCACCCTATCTCGGGGATTTCGCTGGGAATTTCAAAGAAAGCCCACTAGTAGAGGGGTTTTATAGTGTCAGATGAACACTAACTGAAACTAACTCTACTCCCATCTTATTAGACTTCCCCGGAAATTGCCTACGAAATTTCGGCAGATTTTTTCTTTCTCCAAATGTAATTTGAACCTACCTTTGATCACAGGTGACGAATATGATCTACCTAGAGTCTCCTGCTGGTGTTGGGTTTTCCTACTCCGCTGACAAGAATTACAGCACAGATGATGATGATGTTGGTTTGAGTTTTCTGTTTATGCTTTGATTAGTATTTAATGTACACTGTTCACTGTGCTTAATGTCCTAGACCAGCGGTTCTCAACCTGTAGGTGGCGACCCCATTAGGGCTCAAATGATTCTTTCACAGGGGTTGCTTAAGACCATCGAAAGACACATTTTCACTGAAGTTATTAAGTAGCAATGAAATAATTTTATGGTTGGGGGTACCAAAACATGAGGAACTGTATCAAAGGGTCGAGGCATTAGCAAGGTTGAGAGCCACTCTCCTAGATCTTTCTTTTGCTTCGAAAGAGAAAAAAACATCGTCACGTTCGACCAGCATTCCCGAGGGGGGGTCTTTAGGTCATAATTATGATTAAGTTATGGGCGCCAATAAAAATGGATTAGCATTTCACGCCACCAAAAGCCCCGAAAAGAACTCCTGCAGTGTTGATGCGATCACAGGAGGCAGACCAAAGGAGACGCAGTCGTCTACGAACGAGCCAATGGCCGACCCGGTCGCCAATGTAACTCCTTCCTGACGGTCGTGGTCTTATTAAGTCACCGCCGGACTCATAAAACACAACTATAATTTCATGGCGGATGAAAGAAAGAGTGGTCCTCATCATAGTGATTGACGAATGAGTAATAACGACCGAGTTTAGTTTCGACTAACAAGTCCTAGGTCGAACTGTTCGTAAGTCGTGTTCTGTATTTGTCAAAACAATGTACATTCAATCGGTTTATATAAATGGTACATAAGCACCAAAATGCAATCAATGTTCATATAATTATTGTACATAATGTGAAAAACATATAGTATGTACTCTATCCCTCCAATTCTAGGAACTGATTGACCCCACCAATGTAGTTATCTTCCTTTCTTTATTATTTATCTATTTATTCATTCCTGTCTCGGAAGCTGAAACATGTTCGTCATATCAAGCGCCACGACGGATTGGAAAACAATGTATAGCATAAGGCATGGTACCAGGGAGGAGGGGCAGAGGCCGACCGACACGAAGATGGGCACATGATATAAGTGACTCCTTGAGTATGAAAGTGCACGAGGCGAGAGAGCTGACGAGAGACCAAGATTTTTTTTCAGGCAGACCGTGATGAGAGTGACGTACTGCAAAAGACCTGCTAAATGATGATTATGATGATTTCCTTATTTATAAATTTTTTGGTAATCTTATGTGCGGATGGTCGTTAGTTGCTTAGGTCGAATCGAGGTAAATGTGTATTGAGTCTCTTTGGATGTTGAATATACAGAAGAATAAATGGTATTTCGTGGAAACAATAACGATCACATGCACATATTATAGAGAGAACTAGGCATAAATAGACAACTGCTGAGGGCACTAACGAAAAGGCGTCGAGTGAAATATTTAGAATGTATAAAACGACATAACACTCTCATAAAAACTGGTTAGGGGAAATAAGTTGAAAGCAAGCGACAAAAACTAAGTCTGAGATAATGTACACCGCGGGTGAAATGCAGCGCGTTGTAGATCTATTGATGGATTGGAACCAACCTTCTTTGCGAAGACGGTACCTGATTAACTAAGTATTTAATTAACTATTTCCTTGTCACAAAACGATGATATCGCACTGAACATTTGAGAGAAGCAAAGAATCGTAACACTGTCATGCATGTCGTAGGAAGAAACTAAGAAAGGTTGGTCCGAAACTGATCCCCCCTTCCCCAGAAATTTTCAGCTGCAAAATCAAACCAATCACAAACCACATTACAACGAGCTTTGGGTAAGCTCGTAAAGCTGGTTGATCGTATGTACCAAAGGGGCTGCGTGGTCTCGACGCATGGTGTCCGCCTCGAGTGCTAGAGGTTCCGGGGTCAAATCCCCGGCAAGGGCTGGGATTTGTTCACGTGAAGTTGGACTTCTAGTAATTCCCCCTGGTCCCTGGGTAGAGAGATCAGACGCCCGTGTGCATTGTTGCTCACTTTAAAAAAAATCCCTTGGCAGTTGAAAATCGAAAAGAGTAGCCTAACTGCGCTGCCTGGGCACAATTTTGAGTTTAAAAATCTACCTAAATTATTTTAGGTTCCTCGCCGGTGCTACAGAGCCTGTGCACTGTGCTGAGCTTCTTCGGACTCAGACTTGAGTTAGAAGAAGAACGGAACACTTATGGGTTACTACCTATGTGCCATGATGTTGATCCGTTGTTCAAAACCTCAAATGTATGTACCGGTGTTTCTGTTGTGAAGTGGGCAAGCCGTTTGCCTTGAACTCTGGAGGTCATGGGGTCGTTTCAAGGACTCATAGTTTAGTTCACTAGTATTCTTGTTACAGAGATACCCCGGGATCGTCGCTAGAAGTCCCCGTGCGGGTTCTGGGGTCCTATTTTGTGTTGAAAGAAGAACCGACACACAGACCTCTTAACAAGCATGTCGTAGGAGGTGACTAATTAGGGTGTTTCCTTTGAAGTCGGAGTGCATCTGTATGAGACGTGAGGAACTAACAGTCTGCATACAAATGAGCCAGTTCTTTAAAGCCAGTGTGCACGTAAGACTCAAATTCTGGAACAAGACCAAAGTCCAGAAGTGGACGAGCAACCAGAACTTTCCGCCGAAATTTACAGCTTGTGAATGCAAAGAAGATAGACGAAAACGATTAAAACGAGCATCGTGATTGCACATCGAACCCATCCAGAAGTGCTCAGTCCTCTCCCAAGTAGAACACGATTTGAGATTTACCTTTGTGTTTTACGTAACAGGTGGCAAGGAATAATCTTCTGGCTTTGCAAGATTTCTTTAGGAAGTTTCCAGAATACAGACGCAATGAGTTTTATATCACAGGAGAGAGCTATGGGGGAATATATGTTCCCACGCTAGCTTCCCTTGTTGTTGAAGACCCATTTATAAATCTCAGGGTAAGTTTCTGTGATTTGCGTTTGTTTCTTCATCTCCATTCCGCGACTGTCATTACATGCACTTTGGACAAATGAATGAACACACGGTAATATTAAAATCAATGTTTCTTCTTTTTGTTGTGAATTTTAATAATTATGCGAATAATGCCAAAGCAAAACCAGTCTTACTTAAACTGTCTCAGGAGACAGGTGAGAATTAAATGTCAGGACATGGTTGTGAACACTGTGGTTTTGATTTTTTTATTTGTTAAATTATCTGTTGCCGTCCCAATGTGGGACGCAATTTTTCCTTATTTTAAAGCCCCAGCCTGGCTGTTGTCGAGGGCCCTAATATAACCAAAAGATTGAACGGAGTTTCTGGGACTTGCTCCTGGGTGATTTTCATCCGAATGGTGGCGCTTTGTGTCACCGGGTGTTTATGGCTCGTTGTGAGGTCCTTATGCGGTTAAACTTCAAACTTCATTCAACACTTGGTTTCTCAGTAAGGGAACCATCCCAGACAACCACACAATACTGAAGCAATATTGAATCCACTCAACTGGTGACATAGCTCCCATACAAGATCACCGATTTGTAAAGAGAAAGTGTTTTGACGAACTTCAGTATTGGAAACGATCTGCTGGTGGACATACACAAAAATACTCTTTAAGCAAACAAAAGAATAAGGGCATAAGATCGGTTTAGTTGGCGTACAGTCCGCAAGTACGGCACATCGGCCTGCCACACGAGGTGAAAAAGCAGAGAAAGGACAGAAGGTGAGAAAGACTTGAGGCAAACCCCAACTCTACTGTCTCTCTTTCATCTGATGCTTGCAGTGCTCGCTGGCTTTTCCCCCAGTGATAGCCCCCGGGGCGGACAGCATCCCTATCTTCTCGGTGTTGACACACATCCATACTTTATAAACTCATCAAAACCTTCTTTCTCATGTCATCAGTACTGCTTGCTTGCTTGCTTGTAGTACCCCACTGGGACATCGCACGAGCGATAAACACCCGGTGACACAAAGTGCTACCATGCGGATGACGATCACCCGTGGAGAGGTCCCAGAAACCTCTTTCAGCAGTTATGGCCACATTTGTGGCCCAGCTATATTCAGGACGACGCTCGCCGCGGATCGGAAGGTCATGGGTTCGCTCCCTGGCGGAACCGGCTTTTTCAAAAATGACCTTGGCTCCCAGGTGGGCCCAGCCTTGAGTGGGTACCGGTGCAGTCCGATTGGTCTATAAAATATAGGTCTAGCCGTCTAGCCCTATCTGCCCTATAGGCCTAAAAGGCGCGGGAAAGGGTCCTTTACTTTACTGCTAACTTACTATATTCAGGGCCCCCGGCAAAAGCCAGGGTGGGGCTTCAAATAACGAAAGATTGCATGCCTCAAGGAGATGACTTATAGTATGTCATCGGTATTTCCATAACGGAAGGCAGTTTTGTTGTTGTTTTAAGGCCCCAATCTGGCTGTGGTCGGGGACCCTAATATAACGTAACGTTTGAACGGAGCTTCTGGTACCTGTTCCCGGGTGATCCTCATCCGAATGATGGCACTTTGTGACACCGTGTGTTTATCACTGGCTGTGATGTCCTGGTGGGGATAACGTCAATCGTTTCTCATGTCATTCCTTCTCTCCCCCCCCCCCCCCCTTTTAAAAATCACCGCTGACCTAACATTTAATCTTTTGTTTCTTCTGTCAGGGCTTTGCCGTGGGCAACGGATTATCAGACGATGTCATGAATGACAATTCTATTGTTTACTTCGCCTATTACCACGGCTTGATTGGAACAAAGTAAACTGAATTGTCTTTATCTTCCAGTAGTTATACCAACCATGGTATAGTGGTTAATGCGTATGCTTTTTAAATTGTGCATAGCTCCTAGTTTTTGCGGATTATAATTATAACTATAATTATAACTAAAATATAATATACTATGATAAAATATGATATAATATGAAATGATATAATATAATATAATTATATGTATAATTATAGCTATAATATGATATGACATAATATAATATAACAGAATATAATATAATACAGTACAATATCTTCATAAAGTCCATGCCATGTGGCATTGGTTGTCATGTCTATCCACAGCCTTCTGTCTCGTGTACTTTCAATTAAACACAGATGATATTCCATGCCATGTGGCATTGGTTGTCATGTCTATCCACAGCCTTCTGTCTCGTGTACTTTCAATTAAACACAGATGATATTCCATGCCATGTGGCATTGGTTGTCATGTCTATCCACAGCCTTCTGTCTCGTGTACTTTCAATTAAACACAGATGATATTCCATGCCATGATGTCGAACTGTCCAGCATCTTTTCTCTGATAATGTATATGGATGAAATTAAATATTAACTTCACTCTCAACATTACGTCAGATTCCCCCTCCACCACCTCTGGCCCACATAACACGTAATTAGAATGCATTATGGCTTTTTTGAGGTACATAGGTATGTAAATATACAATGTTCTTGTTGGACTGTCTTTTAGGAGTTATACAGAACAAAGTTAAAATGTAACCAATAGACCGTTTTAGGCAATAAAAAGTGTAAGCGACGATAACAACCTTTACATGCACGCGTTGTCACTGTTATAGATCTGCCCTGATTGCTCGGAAGATAGCCCCATCTAATCACTTTTAACTATTTCGATCCCCGACAGTTAATTACTTCAACTCGTTTCACCCAAGTAATTATCTTGGAAGCTTTAAATGCTCGTAAATGAAATAGCTACAGGCGAGACATTTAGAAACATAATCACCACTAAACTTCTAATTTGAACAGAACAGGGAAATGGAGCAACTTTTTTGCAGTGGAATGAAGCAAAACCATTTTAGTGTCTTCCAAGTGATCAAGAAACGTATAGTTAATTGCCTTGTACTGAAACAGATGAATGCATATCAGCTATATTTTCCTTGGTATGTTCATGACTGTTTTCTTTTGTTCAATACACTGCTGTTTATTGTGATTTCAGTGATTGGTTAAACTTGCTGAACCAGTGCTGTCCAGGCAATGACTCTAAAGTCTGGTGCGACTTTGTGGCTGGAAGCAAAAACCCTTCTTGTGCAACTGCGGTATAGTTAAACGTATTGTTTTTTTTTTCTTCTGAAAAGCGTTAATGAATAATAAAAAAAAAGTTGTGTGTCCCTTTACACAAACGTTGTAAGTAAACCCCTTACAGCGCCTGCCCTGTTATAAGTAAGTTAAGCAAGTGAGTTTGTCCATTGCCTTCTGTCCAGTCGGCTCCCTGAATATACCGTCTAGAACCAACGCACAGGCCAGTCGGCACTCGCAGGGTGATACGGTCAACATCACATCCCCGCCATTACTTCGAAACTATTCGCATCTCACTTAGCTGGTCGACCCGGACTAAAGAAATTTTTGAAAAAAGTATGACTAAGGACCTCTTCCCACGACCTTCCTATCCACAACCTACCCAACAGCTACTGGACGTTACTTTGTGCGTCGCCGTGTCCTAGTATATAGACTGTAAATACCATTGAACCATCTGTCCTGGTATTTAGTTTCTATTGGGGCATATAGGGCTACAGTCTCTTTTTAGTCACAGGATGGGAATCTTTGAGAAAACTATGGTCAAAATCACATCGGCCGCTTGGGGAACTTCTCAGGACTAAACGTGTTTCTCAATTTTATTTCCTTCCTAAACGACCTGGGAGCCACGGTCATTTTTGAAAAAAGTCACGGCAGAACCGGTCTTTTCCACTGTTGCTATCCCATTCGTTTGTTTTATTATTTTGAACCACTGTGGTGCTCCCGTAGTCCTAAACTATAACTGTCTTATACGTTGCCGCGTTAGTGCAGTCTGATATTTGGTTCTATTTCATGTTTATCCAAAGCTGTGACTCTTTAAGGCCACCGATTGTCGGTCTTCGAAAAGCGGCTCCCTAGTAGAAAAAGCCTCTAGGAAATGGGTAAAACCAGAGTTGAAAATGTTTCTGGGGTAAATTTATTTCCGTCGCTAAGCTACCTTGGGGTTACGTTGCATTTTAGCGACACAGGCGGACATTCTATCAGCCCTCTTTCTGGTGGCATTCACTTATGGTTTTTATTCTTTTGAATCCGCTGTGGTGCTGGATATAGCCAAACTATTAGAGTTTTCGAGACAAGATGCTGTTTTCTAACCAATGTTCCTTGATGTTCAGATGTATTTCTTTTCTTCTTGGGCAGTGGTATTCTGAGAATCTTTTTGTAGCATTTCGGCTAAAAAGACCCTATTTTCTTGATGGCGAGATTTGACTCACATGATCACATCCGGCTGTTGCTAGATGGAATATATCAAGAATATATAAAAAACCGAACGAACAGTTTATTAGCAAGCTTCACAATATAACAAATACAAACAAAACGTGAACGCTGAGGCTATGGAACCTTCATCAGCACATACACGAATCAAACAATACTACACAAAATCACTTAGCTGGTATCTCGAAGCAGCCGGGTCGATGACTTCTCAGCCGAAACGGTGGGCCAGGGGAATAAATAACCCCTGTGCTGTACCAGGGGCAGTAGCTAGAGTGTGTAAGATAAAATTGCGTTGGCAGTTCAATCCCCTAGAAGTTTAAATGAAACTGTATTAGCAATTCAGTCCGGAGGGTGTTAAAGTACCCAAAGTGTAAATAAAGCGATTTTCAAGAGACTTGCGGACTTCTGTCGCTGGAGTGGCTAGATGGAAGATGTATGCTCTTAAAATTTTGACTTTGACATTATTTTGTTTTATTTAAATTCAGGAACTAGTTTTGATCTTCACCGTATTTAGAGAGACATTAATTAATGGTTTTTTTTTCCATGATACAATGTTACAGACCAGACACATTCAAACTTTGGTATGGAGCTCTGGACTCAATGTGTACAACCTGTACTCTGAATGCGCAGGGGGCGCTCAAAACTTGAATCTTCATTTTGATGAATCGAGAGGAAAGTACGTCACTAGCAACTTTGGCTGGCCATTCATGTTTCTAGCTGACACCGTTGCCGAACTAAAGACGGTAGGAAAACATATCTTGTTTAAAATCATTTTGCATTATGTAGGGTGGTTCTATAAGTAATTCCTCGGTCAAAGCTTTTAAATTAATTGCGTACTGCGTAATGAGAGTTGTTTGTTTGTTTGTTTGTTTGTTTGTTTTAGTATCCAGAAGCCATGAGTTGTTAACCCATAGCCTCGGTATAATGGATATCGCAACCCTTCGGCCTTGATTCCATTGTAAATACCGTAAATCTAAGAGAAATGTGGCTTTTCTGTCTACCTGTGGGAGTGAATCCGGACCACAAGGAGTTCGTCACCCGGTTACCACGCAATCCGGTTTAGCCAACTACGCTAGAGAGACGGGCCGTAATGAGAGTAGTGTAGTTTGTAATCTCTCTCTCTCTCTCTCTCTCTCTCTCTCTCTCTCTCTCTCTCTCTCTCTCTCTCTCTCTCTCTCTCTCTTGTACCCCACCAGGACTTCACACAAGTGATAAACACCCAGTACACAAAGTGCCACCATGCGGATGAGGATCACCTGTGGAGAGGTCCCAAAAACCCCGTTACAGCCGTTAGGTCATATTTATGGCCCGGTTATATTCACGGCCCCGGCAAAAACCAGGGTGGGACTTCAATGCGTTACGGTACAGGGACTTGTGGACAACCCTGCATCCTCCTCTCTGCTTCTTCTTCGTCGTCTTTTTAGCGTTTATTGGTCGTGAAACTCATGCAGAAAGTTTTCGGTCTACTTCTAGTCTGCGCTGGCTGCTGAAAATGAGGACTGAGCACGCATGGGATAGCCCCGAGTGCTGTGATGTGAATTCTTGACTCAGCCCAACTCAACTCAACTGGTCTACTTCTAGATTTGTATCTTGCTTCATAACTTGAGTTTTGCGTTCGCAGCTTTTATACACATCTGGATTATTTGTATACAGACTTTTGTTCCTTAACCTGGGGCGCTGCATGGTCTCGATGCATGATGTTCGCCTGGAGTGCTAGAGGTTTCCGGTTCAATCCCCGATTAGGGCTGGGACTTTTTCATGTTTACTTGGACTTCTAGTAATTCCCCCTGGTCTCTGGGTAGTGAGATCGGACGCCCGTGTGCATTGTTGCGCACGTAACAAAATCCCTTGAAAATTCGAAAAGGGTAGCCTAACGGCGCTGCCAGGGCAACATTTGGAGCTAAAAATCTACCCAAAGTATTTCAGGATCCTCGTCGGTGCTGCAGATTATGTGCACTGTGCTGAGCTTCGCGGACTCAGACAAGAAGAGTGGAGCACTTATGTGCCATGATGTTGATATGTTGTTCAAAACCTCAAACTTGTTTCTTGCCTCTTATGTAGATGCACTCTAACTTCGAATGAAACACCCATAATTAGCCAACTTTTACGACATGCTTGTTATGGTCTGTGGGTTTAATTCAACACCCCCCCCCCCACAACAAAACTGGGGCCCGGAACCCACACGGGGAGAGCCCTACGTAAAGAATAATGGCACCACGGGATGAGGATTTTATGGTGCGTCGATTTAACCATTTAAAATCCAGCTGAAGGATGTTTGAATCTAGACCACCTGCTCAACAGACAGGCCCACTAGACACAACTCTGACCTGGCTGCCATCAGAGGTTCTTAACTCTTTTGGCCTGAAACACCTCACCACGAGTCACCTCACTCTAGTCAACAACTGCTGCGTGCTAGAGCCGCGGGCCTCACCGGGTGTCATCACAGTGGGAGGGGCGGGGGGGGGGCAGGGGATGCATGTGACAAAATTTAAAAAAAAAATGTTTTTAACATAAAAAATGCGTGTGAGTTCATGTGTGCGCGTGTGTGTATAGGGGTGACAAATAGAGGCGTAGGCAGGAGCTTGCGGGATGCGGGCCGCGTCGTGTGTCATCAATAAAGGGGGTGGGGAATGGCAAAAATGTTTTAGCCGAAAACAATGTCTGTATTTGTGTGTGTGGGGAGGGGGTTCACATTAAATTTTTGGCACCGGGTACCGCCTGACCTTGCAATGCTACTGGGGTGTGGCAAACAATGTTCCGCACCGGGTACCACCTGGCCTTGCTACGCCATTGCGCACAAGTCGTAACTGTAACTGACTCCAGACACTACTGAGAAAGGCGAAGACACGTGTGCACCGGGCAGAGTGGCAAGTATCACTTCAGAAGTCCTGGGTAAGCGCCCTTTGGATATTTCCCTAGGTGTTGGGAAACGAACAGGCAGAAAGACTGGCTGATTCTGCACCAGGTGGTGGTAAAGTTATGCTTGACAAGCTAGATGTTGTAAGGGTCCTTTGAGAGCGAGTGACCAGTGCAGAGACACACATAGATCATCGTGGTCTGAACTGTATTGCGAGGAGTGACCAGGGGATCTGGTCAACGCTCGACACTTAAAGGAAAGACTAGGATATACAATTGAACTGTTACTGATATCATCGTAATTGGAAATCTGCACCTGCTGCTGAACATGGGGACGGAGCGCTTATGGCAACGTCTCGAATGCTGTGATGTCGATTCTTGATTCAATATTCAGGATTATTGGCATTACCTATTTTACTTTGTGACTTTTATAGTTTTAGCGTCATCAAGCCAAAACATTTACTACCTAAAGTAATATTTTCTAAAAATATGATGAGTTAAAATACAACTTTGCATGTCAATGGGGGGGGGGGGGGGGGGGGGGGGGGGGGTTGCTTTTTAACCATGTTGCCAGATTGTATTAAATATATCGATTCGACTTTCAGAAACTAAGAACAATACCGGCGGACAAACTGGTATCAACTCCTCCCTGTACCAATGATACAGCGGCTGTCAAATATTTGAACAATCCCGCCACAAAACAAGCCCTGCATATATCAGATGAGGCCGAAGAATGGGATGTCTGCAGGTAAAAATGCGTTGTGACTTCATCTGAAATGACGAATGATGAGAATAGGTTGGACAGATAAAGAGAGTAACGAAGATGTCTTGAAAGAAACTGACTCACGAAGAGAACTGATTGCCCACACCAGAAAAAGACAGTTTACATTCTTTGGTGATGTGATGGGAAGGAGAAAACAGGAGTACATCGTGACAGTAGGAAAGTTTTTAAAGGGGTAGGAAATTATAGGGAAGAGAAAAGGTTGGTAAGAAAGAACAAACAGTTTATTTTAGCTTTACAAAAGTTGGAGGGTAGGGGAGACAGGGAAATCGAGAGAAAAGTTGCTGGACAGTTTGACATCATAGCATGGAAAAAAAAAAGGGGGGGGGGGTCACCTGTGTCAGAGCTGATTGAAAGTACACGAGACAGAAGGTTGTGGGTGGATATGACTACCAACGCCACACAACATAGACTTTAGGAAGAAGAAGACTAAGATCACCCATCCTGCTGGCTTTCGTGATTGACCACCTGCGCCAACAGTGAGCTGCAGTTCAGGTGTGGGACCGTTAGTGTTAGCACATTTAACAGCGCCGTGTGCATTTTTAATTGTGCGTGTGCGAGCTTTAAAGTTTTGCCGGGACTGACTTGTTTTTCACTAGTTTACAGATGGGACATTCAAAGACAATTTGCTTGATTTACAATGGCACAGGAAATGTTAGAGAGACAGTTCTGCAGTGAAGTTGGAACTTCAACTAACCAATCAGTCAATCAACCAACTAATCAGTTACACACACACACACACACACACACACACACACACACACACACACACACGCACGCACGCATGCATTAATCACGTGTGGTATTTACGGATATAATAAACAAAACATACACTATCTTCGCCATGTGTAGATGTGGACTGGCACCTTAGACAACAGATCACATCCTCCAAGACTGTCCCAGATTCAACGCTTCCAGGCAAAACTTCTGGCCAAAAGAGACACTTGTGGAAGTCAAACTTTACGGGCCGTTTAGTGGATTACAAAAGACAGTGAATGTCAGAGGCCAGTTCGGAATCATGAAGTAAGAATCGTGAATCATCACGCTTGTACCAGTTGACCTCCAGCGCAAACTCAGTGTGTGAACGTACAGCTCGTTCACGCAATAAGCCGTGCCCAGTTTAGAGGCCAGGCCGAGTTCACTCAACCTGACACGGAGTGCTGCGGATTTTGCGATGAACTCAGGGGGAAATACAAAAGGCTTGGTCCAAGCGGGTTTCGGGGGACTTGTGAGCGGACAGTTGTTGACGACGGTTGTGTGCTTATCGACAGAGAGAGACAGGACAACAGTTTACGACGAGGTAACGGTTAGGTTAGTGACGGTTAGGTACAAATAGGATATTCGTATTTAGTGTCTGTGATAGGCCGTATTTGTATTTATTGTTGTCGGCTAGATGGTAGAGAGAGTTAAGGTCTTGGTGTAGTAGATATTACAGGTAGTATTTGTTTAAGCAGTTAATCATAGGTGACGCGCCTGGTAATGGCGATTACACTGCCCGGGCGCGCTTAGGCCATACACTTCCCGTGTATCGCTGAAGTCCCGTTTGGCAATCGACGGCGGATTGATTGGCACTGAGACACTGTTAGCTAAGAGTCGTGCTCCCCTGGATCCATGGGAGCTGACCTGGGGTGATTAGTGAGTGTAAAGCTGTCATCGCCAAGGCAGCTTCGGATGGGAGCTGCTTAGCCCAGTTGAAGTGTTGTACATCTAATGTTCATTGTACATTAAAGATAATGGTTGTACTCAGCCGGAGTGTCGCCTTAAGTGTGTTTGGGTAGTAGAGTCTGTCAGCTGGCCTTCCTAGCGAGCCATATAAACAAGTAGAGTAGTTTAGGCCCCTGACAGTGAAATTCATACTGGAGACAGCATTGCAGATATAGATAATTTATTTCATGCGAACGAAAGAAGAAGATTTTCCTGCTTCATAATTGACCAAATATTTTATAATTTCCTCACAGCAATGCTGTTAGTGCCGGATATGTCCGCACGTACACAACAATGACTGAACAATATCAAAAAGCCATAGATAGAAAGGTATGTACGATAAACTTCTCTTCATCTTCTATTACAATAATATATATTATCTATCACCCTCTATTTTCCACTAGAAAGATGTGTACTTTAATACTACACTCCCTCTTATTCAACATTATGCAGCTGTCTGGGATTATTCTAGTTCAGTAGCTCGCTGGGACTGAAACAGTGGCTAGGCGTAATCAATTGGCATGTTTAAGCGTAAGCTTACTCCAGTTACACTGGAGAGGGTGTGACCTGATGTTTTCCTTCTCGTTGCTTCGCTGTTGAGAGAATGCGTGCGCAGTTAAGACCCAAATACTGGTAACCGGTAGTGTCACACGTTACTGTTTCTTTATGAGGCGTGTAAGCATGCAGCGAGCGCTCTTTTCCGCAATTTTGATACTCTTAACAAGCGTTACGCAAACGGAGTAGCATATTTGTAATAAATAGTAATAATAAATATCTAAATAATGCTTTTTTATTTTGCAATGGAAAGTGTAAGCGTCGAGGGCGAATTATTTTCTTATGGCATAGCATCTGCAAGCACAGTGAAAGTAAACTTTTAAAGTTCATGCATCTTTTCCTAGGCAACTTTTGGATGTGAGTCATGGACTCTCACTCAGTCTTTGAAGAAGAAGTAAAAAATGAGCTTTTTAACTGAAAATTCTCAAAATACCATTTACCAAGAAGAAGAAAAACGTCAACATGCTGCATGACCTGAACGTCAAGGAGAACTGACTCGTAAAGAACATCCACTCCCTAAAGCTGTGGTATTTTTTTTAGATATATGAAAAGCTGGTGGTCTGGAGAAATCGGTGATAGAGGGAGCGGTGCCGAGAAACGAGACAGAAACCGGCCTCCGCAAAGGTAGATACAGGACATTAAAGATGCATAGAGAATTCGCTAGCAAAGGAGAGATTTTCAGGCGTGGCGTGAAGAGAGCGACTTTCTGTCAAAGGTCAACTGGTTGATGAGTATGGGAGAGCCGTAGCTAGCCTCTCGCCTGCCAGCGCGAATATTATGGGTTCAGATCCTGGCGGATTTGGAAGACGATGAGCGGGGCTTCCAGGTCGACCCAGCCTAAAATGGGTACCAGGTGATGTCCTGGGCAGTAAAGGCGGCCGATGGGTTGGAGACCACAACACCCATCAAGTGTCAACTGGTATATAAAATATGAGTCTAACATAATATTTAACTGGATGGCGTAGTCAGCAGATTAAATGGTTCGGACATGTGTCAGGACTGTCTCTACAAAGTGCTCCCCACTAAGCCCTGTCACTCAGACATAATGGAAGCAGAACAAGAGGTCGACCACGCAAGCGATGGATAGGTGGAATATCCGAGGTCGTAAATACCAGCATCTATGTAGCACATACCATAGCTCGCACCTGATGCCTTTTTTTTTAAACCTGACACTGAAAGGCAGAACAGGATTAGAGGAGGAGGAGGAGGAGAAGAAGAAGAAGAAGAAGAAGAAGAAGAAGAAGAAGAAGAAGAAGAAGAAGAAAGAAAGAAAGAAAGAAAGAAAGAAAGAAAGAAAGAAAGAAAGAAAGAAAAAGAAAGAAAGAAAGAAAGAAAGACAAGAAAGAAAGAAAGAAAGAAAGAAAGAAAGAAAGAAAAAAAGAAAGAAAGAAAGAAAGAAATCAAAAGAAAAGAAAGAAAGAAAGAAAGAAAGAAAGAAAGAAAGGAGGAGGAGGAGGAGAAGAAGAAGAAGAAGAAGAAGAAGAAGAAGAAGAAGAAGAAGAAGAAGAAGAAGAAGAAGAAGAAGAAGAAGAAGAAGAAGAAGGAGGAGGAAGAAAGAAAGAAAGAAAGAAAGAAAGAAAGAAAGAAAGAAAGAAAGAAAGAAAGAAAGAAAGAAAGAAAGAAAGAAAGAAAGAAAGAAAGAAAGAAAGAAAGAAAGAAAGAAAGAAAGAAAGAAAGAAAGAAAGAAGGAAGAGGAAGAAAAAGTAGATTATGAAGAAGAAGAGCCTTTCCTAAAACTAACTTTAGTCGTCTCATAAGACATGCTTGACAAATTGCAGTGTGTTATCATTTCATTTCCCAGAGGGCCTTGATATCCCGTGGGCAAACCCTTCTTCAAAAACATTAATCTTGATCCCTTCCCTTTAGTTTGTACCTGTCCATTCATCCACAGGTAGTCGCCGTTGTGTAGCTTGGGGACGGGGAGGTCGTGGGTTCGGATCCTGATGGAGCCGATCTTTTTTTTTAAAAATGTGACATTGGCTCCCAGGTCGACCCAGCCTTTAGTGGGTACCAGGTACAAGTGTGGGAAGTAAAGGCAGCCGGCGTGATACAGACCGCATCACCCTAAGTACCGATTGGTCTATAAGAGATTCGCCCAATATGCCTGAGGGCGTGGATAGGGTCCTTTACTTTTGTACTTATTTATCCACAGATCAGGATTCTGGTCTATAACGGGGACATTGATATGGCCTGCAACTTTTTGGGAGATGAGTGGTTTGTCGACTCACTGAATGTCCCGGTAAGACAACTCATTTAATCGTGGTTTCCCCCCCCCCCTCGTTGCTGTTATTGTTACTTACCTATTAATTGTATCTTTCTAAACCTTTGTGGGTGCTTTAATAATATCCTACCCCAGATGACATCAGAGGACAGTCCAACATTTTCGAGGGTGGTGAGACTGGGTTTCCCGGCTTTCTGATGCTTTTAACGACCCCAGAACATCTAGAACTGGCCCTAACCCCAACCCACATATGTCCCACGAGAGAGTGCAGCCTAGGTCTCAGGACTGCATGCAGCCTAGGTCCCACGACTGCTAGCAGCCTATCTACCACCCCTTGAAATATTAGACTGTCCGGTGACCTATGGATTCTCCCTGTTTGGGTAGGATATTAATAAAGCACCCCTTTGTGTACTTTCATTGTTCATTTGCTCCCTTTTTTACCCATCTTTCTTCCACTATTCTCTTTCAGGACGTTCATTTAAATCGCCTATTTTTTCCAGACGATAGTATTATGTTGTGCAATCGGGAGGCACTCGGCGTTGTGGCTTTGGCGTTGCGAATGCACTTTGTAACTCCGTGGTGCCAGGTTTGATCCAGCACTGGGCTACTTGGCAGTAGACCGCATTGCTTTGGTTTCAACAGTAGTACCGAGAGCCGACCGTTCATTATAGTCTGTTCCTACACATTCCATATAAATAAATAAAACTGATTCTTGTTTTGGAAATAGAACCCCCAGGCAAGAAAGGCCTGGTACTACAAGGCGGCAGACGGCACACGGCAAATTGCTGGCTATGTCAAGGCCTTCGAAGGAGTTACTTTTGTTACAATCAAGGTAGGTCCATTGTGGACTTTTAAAAACGTTTCCAAGTGCTTCAATAATGTTGTTTATTCTTACTGTTTTGACATTTATTAAATTGAAAAAAAAAAGTTTAACCCTAAAGAACCCACTGGGTCATAGTGACCCAACCCAAAAACTCGTTTCAAAGACAAGCGTAATTTATTAACAGCGACAAATTATTTCCCTAATTACCTATAGTTGCCCGGCTCTCTAGCGAAGTTGGTTAAACCTGACTTTCGCGGCGGCCGGGTGACGAACTCCTTGTGGTCCGGGTTCACTCCCGGGGGTAGGCAGAAAAGCCACATCTCTCCCAGATTAACGGTACCTATAATGGAATCAAGGCCGAAGGGTTGCGATATCCATAGTACCGAGCCAAAGGGTTTACAACTCATGGTTTCTGGATACGTAAAAAAAAAAAAAACCTAGAGTGACATGTGAGGAACATAAGAACAGTAACTCTGACATGTTTGAACAAATCAGTGCCATTTAAGTCCCTTTGGAATATGGAATTTTTTCTCCACCAGGTCTGGGTTTTTCAGGGTTAAAAATCAGTCTTTAAGGATTTCATCTAGGTATTTGGTGCTTCTCATGTAGCAGTTCTTGTACAGAACGTCGCTCCTATCGCAGCCCGTCTGAAAGAACTCTATTACTAGCACTCCAACCACATGCACTCTCCTGCTCAAGCTGTCTCTTATTTCCTGTGTCCATATTCGTACTGGTAGGTGGCTGCCTCTCCTAATCAGTACCCTGTCCTTCGTCACTGTTCTTTGCAAGCCATTGCGACGTTTGATATGGTCAAATTATTTCTGTTTCCGAGACATAATGCTGTTTACGTACAGATCCTCTTCGATGTTTATTTAGTGCTTTGAGAATAGCAACATTTCGGTATTTTTTCCGTTGGTCTCTGGGTAGTAAGATCGGACGTTTGTGTGTATAGTTGCCCTCGTAACAAATCCCTTGGCAATTGAAAATTGAAAAAAGGAACCCAACACCGCTTCCCGGGCAAATTTTGGAGTTAAAAATCTACCCAAAAGTATTTCAGGATCCTCGCTGGTGCAACTGAGTTCGTACACTGCGCTGAGATTTTTCAGACTCAGGCTTGAGTTAGAAGTAGAACGGAGCACTTACGGGTTACACACATGTGGTATGATGAAAACATTTTAAAAGTTATGTCTCTCTATCTATCTATATTCATTTTCCCGCCGGTCTGTCTGTTGATCTTTATCTATTTGTCTGTCTGTCTAACCTCTGTTGAACTGTTTCCATTTCTGTTCATCATGAAACCTATTCAAAGTTTGGGACATTTTCAATTTCTTCATCATTGATTAGTTTTTTTTTTTGGGGGGGGGGGGGGGGGGGGGGGGGGGGGGGGGGGGGGGCATGCTGTTTTTGTCAGTGGCCATTATTTATGTTTTCTTTAAATTTGCAAGAACCAAAAAGGTTTTGATCCTAATATTTCCCTTGTGGGTCCTGTGGAAGGGAGAGAAAAAGAATAGGCCCACTGCCCCCTACAAGCATGTTGCACAAGCTGACTTAGGGGTATTTCCTTCGAAGTCGGGGTGCATCTGCGTCAGAGGTTAGAAACCAAGAGTCTGCATATAAGTAATCCATTCCTGTAAAACGACGGTGCATGCTAAACAGTTCTGGAACAAGTCTGAAATCCAGAAGTGGACGAACAACCAAGACTTTCTAACGGAATCTACTGCTGGTGAACACTAAGAGGATCTTTGTGTAGGGTGGCCATATTATCTTGAGTTAGTAGAGAAACAGGAATATTATGGCTCGGAGAGAATGAGGCACCTGGGTAGTGAGCATACTTTGGATCTTTTCTCCAGGCCAATAAGGCGTGGTGGGTAATGAACAGGCAGACAGACTGGCTGGATCTGCATCACTTGGCGGGGAATTGATATATGACAAGGCAGATGTGGTCAAGGCCCTTTGGAAACAAGCAACCGAATCAGTAGAGGTGGAAGATTATTATGGCCTGGAGTGAATAAGTCATCTGGGTGTAACCAGAGGGACTGGCAGGCTGTCTACACTCAGAGGAAAAGCAAGACGGAAATATAACTAGATTGTGACCGGGTACCATCAGTATCGGAACTCTGCGCTGGCTGCTGAAGATGAAGACGGAGCACGCATGGGAATGCCTCGAGAGCTGTGATGTCAAATTTTGACTCAACTCATTATCTTGAGCTGAAAACGGGACTAATTACTCATATTACACCTGAAAACGTGACATCCCAAACAAGTCAGTTTACCTTCGGTGAACTCTGTTTGCCAAGGAGAAGAAGAATCTGATGCTCTTAGGGTACGATTTCTATGTGCTTGGTCTTCAAGCTTGGCATATAACAGTTATTTTCTTTCATTTTTTCACTTCAGGGAGCTGGTCACATGGTTCCAACAGATAACCCAATCCCAGCACTGGATATGTACTTGAATTTTATTCAGGACAAGCCATTTTAGCTGTTTACATTGAAACTGGGATAGTGTGTACAATGTTAACTTGTGTGAAAATACATTTGCTTTGTTGTACATGTTCTAGCTTTGATTATATTTGACAAAATTGATTTTCATAGTGACCTAATATCTTTTATAGTCTATGTTGTGTAGCATTGGTAGTCATGTCTATCCACAACCTTCTGTCTCGTGTACTTTAGATAATTTCTGGCACAGATGATCTTCCATAGTCAATTAGTGATTAGAAAGAATTATCATCACAGCACTGCGGACAGATCTATAGGTGCTTCGATCTCTCGTCAAAAGCCCCACAAGTGTAAAATGACTGATGACGTCTATGTGGAGCAAGTGAAGAAGATATCAGCTTATCAAACGCACATACTCTGTCGCGTAAGTTAGAATCCTGGACCCATATTTTCACTTGCGGCTGGCCGCAGAGGTCGTCAATATTGTTGCTAAGGCCACCATGACGTTGATCGGCAGCATACACATTGAACACACACTAACAACGCAACTCATAATCACATTTCTAAGCTGCCTTCAAGTGAAATACGCCGTATAAAAAGCGAAATTATGGCTTAAAAGCACAAAACACAACAACAACATGCCGCCATTTTGGAAAACGGAAGTATATAGTCAATGCCATGTGGCATTGCTTACCATGTCTATCGACACCCTTCCATCTCATGTATTTTCACTCAGTTCTGCAACAGATGATCTTCCATGCCATAATGTCAAACGGACCCTTCCCTCTCCAACTTTCCCACCCACGCGATAAACCCATTTTCTCCTTCCCATGACATGACCAAAGAATGTAAATTGTCTCCTTCTGATGTGGGCACGATTTGAAAGAATGAAGGGGAAAAAAGACAGACAGAAAGATTGATTGGAGAATAAATATGTCCTTCTTTTTTGTTCGCCTTTAAAAGAAAGGGTACCTGGCGAGTTGTGTGTGGTTTACATCCAGGCTGTGATATCTGCAGTTTTCAATCCAACACATCTGAAGTCATCAAATTCATAATTGGTCGCCTTTTACGACATGCTTGTTGAGGGTCACTAGGTCCATCCCCTCCCTCCCTGCTCCCCCAGGTAGGACTCCAGAACCTACACGGAGGCAGACAAGAGTATAAGTATATTCAAAATGGCATAATCCAATTCCCGGACACCCTGAAAAGAGACGGGAGGAAGAACAATGTGATAACAGAAAAGATCCAACAAAGCAGACGGAGACAATGAGAAATGCTACTGGACAGATTAGGATTGTGACCTCAAGGAATATAAGTTAAAAAAAAAAGTAAAGGACCCTTTTCTACGCTTTAAGGCGTATAGGGCATATAGGGCTAGACCTATATTTTTATAGACCAATCGGCACAAGATGGGTGATATGGTCAGTATCACGCCGGCCGCCTTCACTTTCCCGGGACTGCACCCGGTACCCACTCAAGGCTGGGTCGACCTGGGAGCCAAGGTCATTTTTGAAAAACGTCCGGCTCCGCCAGGGAGCGAACCCAAGACCTTCCGATCCCTGGCGAGCGTCTAGCCGCTCGGCCACGGCGACTGTCAAGGAATATAATTTTCTTTAATTATTCTTTTTCTTCTTCTTTTTGTTCTTCCTCTTGTTCTTTTTGTTCTGCTTCTTTCTTCTTCTTCGTATTCATCGGCTGTAAACTCCAGGGGAAAGTTCTAGCTGTTCGTTGACTTCTGGACTTTATTTGTGTTCCAGAACTTGTTTTGTATGCGCTTCCAATTTACAGATCTGGCTTATTTGTAGGCAGACTGTTGGTTTCTTGCCTCACAGGCAGACGCACTCTGACTTCGAAGTAAACACCATTGATTATTCAATTTCTACGACTTCAACACACAAAAAGGTCACAACAAGGGCATGTCCCATGAACTTATCCAGGAAGTTAAGCCTGTCAATAAATGCTCGATGAAGAAGGATGTGTTGGCTGCAAGGCGCAAATACCGAACCTCTGCTGTAAACAGGCAAAAAGAAGATATTGCTAAAGTCACTGTGTGGGTTCTGGAGCACCAGTTTGGGGGGGAATGCAAAACCCATTGCTATTTAACAAGCACTCCACAAATAGCAACTAACTGAGGTTATACTAACATTGGATGTGTTGGGGTGACTGATGTAGATATCATAGTCTAACTGTAAACTACAACACAAAGTGTCAACCACCCATTTAAGGGAGAATGCAGAAGAAGACAAAGAAGAAAATGCGAGCAGTTACACATTTCAGCTGAGGTCAACCTCCACCATTTAAACTCTTTTAGTGCCAGAAAAAGGTTTCGTAGCTGATGCCAATAAAGAAATATCCATAATCAAATTCCATCAATGCATATAATCAAATTCCATCAATGCATTACTTTTAAAACAGTAATTTAACAGTAGTAGTGACCACTGGATCTGGTCTATAAGGTGTGGTCACGCCTGGCACTGCCACCAGCAGTGTTTGGGGCAGCTAGCTCTCCTAGGAGGGTGAAAAGTAAAAATTAGTAGCCTGCTGCCGTCCCATGATTGCACAAGCCAACCCCACCTCCCCATGGTGCAGACAGGAAACTGTACCCGTGAGGACACAGGCTGACGGGGAAATGGCCACCTGGAGAGGAGTGGGCCCCGCCAGAGTTGAAATTCTGCCCGAGATGCACTTTGCTGTTGAGCACATTGGCAACTATGAAACTCTTAACAGCCTCTCACAAACAAGGGTTCAGCAGAGGGAAAGAGGAAAAGAGGCAGACCAAGAAAGACCTGGTTACACAACCTGACTGACTGGACAGGCCTCAGGCATGCAACCATGAAGTCCATCACAACTGACCACTTGAAGTGGAGAGAGCTGATCAGACAGTAAACAGAAACTTGTGACCCAACGACATGTAGTGTTACAGGATGATGATGATGATGATGATGATGACCACCACTGGATAAGCCACATTTCTTCAGTGTGTTGTGACCAAAAGGAAAAATTGAGAAAACATATTATGCTAGGGAAAGACTTCAACAGATAGTGTTCACACAACAAGCGTTGTTTGGGACACAAAGGTTTAACAACATAAAATTTACATTTTTATCAAAAGAAAATGTCAAATTCTTGTGTGTTCACATTTTTTGTTGTTTTCTGTTGCATTAACAAACTTTATTTCGGAAACGTTCATCATCACATCGGCAACAGTAATTACAGTTATTGTAATCACATGATTTATCGGCAACAGTCAAATTGATTCATTATATTCAAAGCAAACCCAATTCATATTCATACATGTAACGTTCTGTCTGCAAGTAAGGCAAAACACATAATACACAGAAAATCCCATAATACACATATAAGTGAATAGGACAGCACATACGAGAGCATATGTTACACCGACATGTGGCTAAGACGGGGAGAAAACATACACACGGCAACGATCCTGGTCAGATTTCTAAACATGAGTTGATCAAATTATTATTACTATACTGAAAGACAAGGGCTAGCGTTACCTCCAGTAAGTATACACACAGCATATACAACAGTGTACAAAAAACAAAAAGAAGCTGGGGAGCTCACAATCTTACACATGCATAAAACAAACTGAAATAAAATGCTTTAAAGATGTCATTATGCTCGATAACCTCTAGCTCCTGTGGGGAAAAACTAAGAGAGAGATATACATCTGAACAAGATCAAAACTTGTCTTTTTTTGTAAGCACACACAGATACACAAACAATAAAACACCAATCAGCCGCACAAGCCATGTTTTAAAGAGAGAACGTGCGCATAATTTTTGTCCAAATTTATGTCCAGGCCATTGGCTAATCATATACACGACGACAAGTGAAGAAAAACACAGCGAGACACAGCAGACCCTTACTTAATCATCTCAGTAAAGGCCCACATAAGCTCAAGACAGATTTAGGGGCATGACAGACACAGAAATGTAAGCTATATCCTTCAACTTGTACTCATAAAGCGCAAACTTGGGTTATCATAAAACAGCCCTGTCATTGCTGGCAGGTTGTGTATGTACATGATTTCAACACTGAGCATTAAACACAGATTAAGTATGTAAAATAGAAAAGACAGACCAAAATGTCATAACAAAGCAAGAATCAATAATTATGTATTTATTTAAAAAAAAAAAAGTTTGGTTTCTTGGTGGACATCAGTTCTAGCACACACACTCACCATCAACCGCAATCTAAATTATCAGAAGGCTGCACAAATCAAACCGCAATCTAAATTATCAGAAGGCTGCACAAATCAAACCGCAATCTAAATTATCAGAAGGCTGCACAAATCAAACCGCAATCTAAATTATCAGAAGGCTGCACAAATCAAACAATCTACACATTCAAAAAAAAAAAAAAAAAAAGCTGACAAATCAGACACAAGGTGTATAATCAGAGACTAAACAAACCAGACATAATCTGCAATAATCAAGCGATCAGACACAATCTGCAATAACCAAGCAATCAGACACAATCTGCAATAATCAAGAGATCAGACAAATCAGTCTGCACAATCAAGAGACCATCTGCCAGCAAAGGATAAGGCCCTAAGTTTTGAGGCCAACACTGGCCAAAAACCTGAAATAATCTAAAATAATGAACCAGGGAAACAACCCCAAACATCAACAACACAAGAATCAAAGGGACATCACTGCACAGGGGGACATTCCCAGGCATCTGCTGTGTCTGGTTCCCCCAGCTGCCAACAGAGTGCCCATAACCATGGCGCCAGTGGCAACATGACTAAACCAGAATAAATTCTCTCCTCATTTTCATACCCAGTAAAAATCTGAATTTTGGAAGTCTAACTGTATATTAAAACTGGAGTTTTGAAGCCAGGTTGTCTAATGAAACTGGATTTGTGAAGCCTGGTTGTGTAACTGTGAAACAGGAAAGATAAGGAGGGAGGGCATAAGTTGAATGTGAAGCGAAAATGTGGTTCAGAAAACATAGCATGCAGTTCTATGCAGCAGGCTTGGGAGGACTGATAAAACGATGGGACAATTGCATCAATGT